TCTTTCTTGTCAGCTTTGGCTGCCACCCAACCTGATGTCAAAATGGTCAAATTTACTGTCAACTACAAATCATGGCATATGGGCCAATCACTGGGTATAAATGCTGTGTCCTATTAGTAGTATCTCGGCAACATGTCCAGACTGGAATGGTGATGGCAAGGACAGTTCTTTGGACTTGAATCAATGTTATGCCTACAATGAAAAGGGTCAACTCCAGTTCAAGGAGGAGTCTATACACTGTTTTTGTTTGGAATTAATTGCAAAAAGGGGAGAAGAAACCCTCACTAACATTCTGGTAATAGTGGGGCTGCATTCAAAATATGTGTCGAATATAAATTGGAAAAGGACCTAAAAGACGGTCCATTTCATACTTGTGACTGCAAGAATAGCGGGTTTTTGATGTCTGTGTGGGGTTATACTCACCCAGCGAACATAACCTTGGGTATGTGATTTCTTCATACCTGACATTATCGACGTCAAGTGCTTACTTCGAGATGTATAGACTCCAATACTTTCAACAGGAATGGTCAATTGGTCTGCAAATCTTCTGTGCATGATGATTGATTTGCTGCAGGATCTTTGTCTCTCCTCTCAGCCATTTTAGGTCACCCAGCCAGTTGTTATCTTTCTTCTGTCCGGTATCTGTTTATGTATCTCGGTTTTCTTTCCTTTTTCTTTGCTATATAGGATTAAAGGCGAAAATAAGATTGGGTACAGTATATCTATGTTATAAGGTTCACTTCTCAGACGAATGGCGTTTTGAATTATAGCCCACCAGAACATATGCAAAGTAGAAATCTGAAATTCACGAAATATATAAACTGAAATCTCACTTACTATCCTCCACCTAAATAATGAGGAAGCAAGTGTACTTCTATTTAGTCTATCAACCCCTGCAAAATAAATTTCTTATTATAGATGTTATGATTTATTCAACTATATTCAAAAGAATAGCTTTGTCTTAATATGATTACATAAAAGTGTATAGTTGAGCACCCATACCTCAATTGGGCATGTACCCATGATGCCAGGAGTCCTATGAGCATGAGATCTCTGCATCACAGTGGGAAATGATGCTGAACCTCGAATAGCGGGTCATGCATCCATCCGTGACCCGTCAACTATCGCTTGAGCTTGGCAAGGAGCTGTGAAGGAATGTCTACCCCTTACAAGCATGTAGACATGATGGGCATGTATGAATGAATGTGTCCTAGATCAGAATGTCTTGGGGCTAATTTGATACACTCATTCAACTGGTAACTGTAGCTACCCATGTGTTTGGGGACAAAAGAAAACCTGAAAGTTCCCTATTGTTGTCAGATTGAGCTATGTTTGGTCCCTGTGAGATTGATAGACCATGACAACTGCCGAATTTGTCAAGTGAGATGGCCAAGACACAGGTTTGGATTACTAGATGGTCATCTAGATTGGGCTGGGGTTGATGGCTAACAGCCAGGTCTCAGTCCAAAACGGCAGGGCTGTCAGATTAAATTAAAGACTCAGCCACTAGGGTTGGCATTGATGATACGAAAACGAAGTACCTAGAATTCCCTAGCTATTCTAATTTTACTCGAGAGAAGGGACCTTCCATGGGTCTTGTCAATAGTGCATTTCCTGAACGCGTATTTTTATTGCCCAATTGAGTTTGATCTTCTTGAGATTTGTGGGGAAAGGAAGGAGACGCAAAAAAGAGGAAGCCTGGTGAAATACCTTTCTTACGGGGTGGGACAAGGCTGAAAAAACTGTGGCTGTTGCCTGCAAGAGGTCCTTTTTCCCACATGCAAAATTAATGGGCAACGGAGGTGGGCCAATCCGCTGTCCCAAATCCGATCCGAGCACAGCCACGGGGTCAACTAAACTCTATCGGAGGGGCCAGACTGAACTTACGTTACCCAGTGCCCACCTTCTCTTGCCCTCCTCTGGTTTGCTCTTGGCCTGGTGTTTCATGCCATTATCTTTTATATTTGTCCACGCCTGAGGCTGACTCAAGTCTTGTGTTCAGTTGATTTTTTTTTCTCCATTCTCTGTCTTTCTAGTATCCTCACAGTGGAAGTCAACTTCCTCTTTATACTTACAGCGAACGTTCGAGTAGGTATAGCACCGTTTGTTTACTCCAGTCTCCCCCCGCCCCCTAATCAAGCAGACAGTCTTTTCTGTTCAACAGCTCATCTAAGGATCTGTGTCGCTGGCACCATCTCTTTAACTTTCTCTTGTCGCAGTATCACCCCCTCACTGACTGTGATATCTTTCTCCAGCCTATACCTGAACGATAATTATAATAACCTGTCTTCTCGACTCCTTAACCACGATTTTCTCTCCGCCCCGCCAATCCCCCCTCGCGTGCGGGGTCTCATCGGCGTCAAGCCTACTGCCTTAGCTCGCCGCACATTTAATTTTTTGTGACTCAAGGTCGTCATTACAATTCAGACACAATGAGTTGTGAGTTTCTTCGTTTTCTCATCGCTTCCGTGCCCCCTCTTGCCAATTGAGCGGAGTGGAAATGCTCCTATTTCTTGTTCATTGCCCCGCCCTTGTTGAAGCCTGTTTCTTTTACCTACACCAACTGGTGGCGTGCTTCATGCTTTCCCAAGTTTTCGAAATGCTCTCGTCAACTGTCGCGATAGCTCTGTGGAGCAATGGCGCAAGCCTTTGGCTATTGTTCATCTCCTCGTGGTTACATGGTCTGAGCATACTACATCGCCTGGTTTTTGGCTCACCCCCTGGACTACCGACCTTGGTTATTTGGCGTTTTGAAAGTATTGTGGCAAATGCGCTGACTATTGTTTTGCTCTATAGTCACTAATATGCTCAACAAGCTCTCGGGACAGCCCGAGAGTTATGAGAAAAAGTACGGCCTTTCCCTTGTGTTTATCGATTCGTTGACATGCCATTGGACAGTTAGTAACGAGTGAGAGCTTTTTCTAGACAACTATACAAGTTTGGGAGAACACTTGGTGCTGGAACGTACGGTATTGTCCGTGAGGCAGACTGCAGTCGTGGAAAAGTCGCTGTTAAAATCATCCTGAAGAAAAATGTCCGGGGCAACGAGCAGATGGTTTACGATGAGTTGGAGATGTTGCAAGCCCTTGATCATCCGAACATCGTCCATTTTGTCGATTGGTTCGAATCTAAGGTGCGTGCCTTTCACCGCGCTATGCCAGTGTCTATAGTTTAACGGTGGTAAAGGACAAATTCTACATTGTCACCCAACTAGCCACCGGTGGTGAGCTGTTCGATAGAATTTGCGACTACGGAAAATTTACAGAGAAGGATGCATCTCAAACCATTCGGCAAGTGCTAGACGCAGTCAATTATCTGCATGAACGGAATATTGTCCACCGAGGTTCGTTTTGCACCTTCAACCTTCTCGCCTTGTATGATACTGTGTTATGCGCTAACTCTGAGTCTGAATTGCTTAGACTTAAAACCAGAAAACTTGCTTTACCTCACCCGTGATCCATCCTCGCCTTTGGTTCTAGCCGACTTTGGCATTGCCAAGATGTTGGACAGTCCCAGTGAAGTATTGACTAGCATGGCTGGATCATTTGGATATGCCGCACCCGAAGTTATGCTCAAACAAGGCCACGGCAAGGCCGTCGATATGTGGTCTCTGGGTGTCATCACATACACCCTACTGTGTGGCTATTCACCCTTCCGGTCCGAGAGCCTGTCCGATCTGATTGAAGAGTGCCGTAGTGGACGCATTATTTTCCATGAACGCTACTGGCGAGATGTCTCAAAAGATGCCAAGGATTTCATCCTTACGATGCTCCAGCCGGATCCATCAAAGCGTGTCACATCCGAGGAAGCCCTCAAGCATCCCTGGTTGAAGGGCGAATCTGCCAGTGACCGTGACTTGCTGCCTGAAATCCGCGCCTACATTGCCAAGTCTCGCCTCAGGAGAGGTATTGAGATCATCAAACTGGCCAACCGCATCGAGGCACTCAAGATGCACGAAGAGGATGAGGATGACATCCCTAGCCCTGCTGACATGGCAGCTTCTGCTGAGGAGCCTAGCAAATCTGGATCTGCCCCAGCCGAGCCGTCAGCTAATGGTGAAGCTGAGGCTGGCACAACGAAGAAGCGGAGTTTGAGCAAGGTTGCACGCGGAGCTATCTTCCGCGAGGTTGTTCTTGCCAAGGTTCGTGAGCAGAAGGACACCGAAGAGCGTGAGAGACTCGAGCGTGAGGCTCGAGAGAAAAATACTCATGCTTGATTTCTATTATGCTATGGCGTTCAAAGTGAGAGCTCATTCATCCTTCCCTGGCCAGTTTCGAGGTCAAGACACATCATCTGAGTTGCTTTGTGAATATTATCTTCATGATTCCCCGTCCATAATCCGAATGGTGTATACAGTAACTGTGTTGTTATTCTTGAGAGCTTTCGGTACTCGTTCTTCAAAATCACTTGTCTTTTGGCTCGACTGTCTCTTTTTGCCTTCGTTTCCATACCATCAACAGCTTTTTCTTCTTCCGTTATTCAAACATTAAATATACTAGTCCTTGTCCACGTAGTCTTTTAGAGAATGACCTTATCAGGTGGATAAGCATCACGTGCCAGGCCACCATTCGACCACTCGGTGCGTGAGCCAATCAGATGATGTGTGTCGGGGAAGTGAGCCCCAGGCAGGTGATCGACTGGGGGGTGTACTAGTATAAAGGTACGTCCGGCGGTCGTTGAATCACTGATATGCCTTCGGCCGGCTTGCTGCTTTTCTTCTTCTTCTCCGAGCAATAGTACTTACGCCTCTACGACTTTTGAACCTCTCCTGTGTTTGCCCACCTCCTCATTCCTCCCCTTCAACCTTCCTCACGTCGCTGCAACATTTCCGAGGCGGTGGATCGCCCCACGTTAAGAGTCAGACGTCATACATCTTTGCGGCTCAAAGATTCTGCTACCTATGGGAGTAACTAGTGTGCGAAGAGAAAAAGTCTGGTCAAAAACCTATTCCGCAGTACTGGGAACAAGATACCAACGATCTAAAAAGCATCTCTCTCACCATGTTTGCGGGCAAGCGCTTGAGCAAGGTAATTGTACCCATCGTTGAATCAGTATTTCGCAGACTAACTTGGCGCAATAATAGGAGCTCCTCAAGGTACCTACGTCCCCTTCTATCCCTCACGCCCCAATTTTGTCTACCGCTTTGCAAGACAAGTTACGACCCCAGTCAACAGCAGCGTCACGTCTTTGCTATATACTGTCATGCCCAGTGTCAATTATGCACAGAAGAATTAACTGTGGTAATTGATTTAGATGAAGGAACATCTGCCACCCGGTATATCAATAGCTAAATCGGAGAATCTGGAAGAGTGGCAGATGGATATCCGAGTCCTGGACGACAATCCGCTTTATCAGAATCAGATCTATCGGCTCAAGTTTACGTTCTCGTCCAAGTACCCAATAGGTACGTTTGATTTTGCACCCTGGTGTTACATTATCTTGTATTACTCTTTATATTTTAGTTTTCAATTTTTTCCCCCTTTGCTTTTTGTTACATTGATCATACTAAGCAACACTCCATCGCACAGAGCCGCCGGAAGTCCAGTTCATCGAGCTGCCTAACGCATCTGAGACCCCTCGTCCGATCCCGATCCACCCGCACATATACAGCAACGGAATCATATGCCTAGACCTACTAAGCTCTGCAGGTTGGTCACCTGTACAAACAGTTGAGAGCGTCTGCATGAGCATTCAAAGCATGCTGACCGCAAACACGCGCGACGAACGACCTCCAGGCGACAGTGACTTCGTCTCGTACAACCGACGCCGGCCCCGTGACATCAACTTCTTCTACGACGACGACAACGTATAACTGTGTACGATGGTACTGTCAAAGGTGGCTCGCTGTCAAGATTGAACACCATGCTTTTGTTTCCCAAACGATAGTAAACATTTCAGCCTGCTCTTACATGTCCTAGGACCAATCTACCCTCCTCCGACAGCTGGTCTTCCACAATCACCCAAGCTTATCCAGAGGACTGCCGATTGCTGATCTAGTACACATTCAAACTTATGCATTCGGTCGTTAGTTGGTTGATATTTCCATTCTCAAGTTGCATTTGCATAGGCGCATGTTTTATGGGCGTTTTGGGAGTGGGCTAGTAGTTAACTTGGATCAACATATATTATCAATTACATATTTTATTCGCATAGTTCCATTTTTGTAATGATATTCGTTGTCCTACTTTTCCTACTTTTTCATTGTTCAGTGTATCGCTAGAAAACGGATAACCATCGATATCGATGTATATATATATCTTGCAACTACCGAAATATATCTTCTGTTCCCCTACGTAACACTGACCAGTAAATAGTATAACCATCACTTTTATTAAGTAATAAGTAATATGCTAGGCACGTTACACATACAATTCTAAAAACCTACAATTATAAAACCCACATTTAGTTAACACATGATATTGTAACTTGAAATTCGGTCACTATACACAGGGTAGATGATGGGAAGAAAAGAGATAGAGATTGGGATTCAGGTAGAGTCGACAAACAAAGGAAACAGACAACGCCATTAAAAAACGGAATTGGTACAGCGAGGTGGTGATGATGATGATCCAACAGCACCACTGCGATGAGATTGAGCACGGAGAAAAACCAAGAGGTAGATGGAAGGTTATTTTTTAAAAGAGCTTTATCTTTGCTTCTTTTCTATTCTTTGGAAGAATCAAGTTAAAGTCGGTTTACAGAAGCTTTGGAGATTCCTCTTGTTTTTATTTGTCTACCGGTCGACTTCACCGAACACCAGATCCATTGTACCTGGATTTGAAGATTAGCAGAACGTTCGACCAGGTTGTGGGCGTTTTAGAGTTATGGGGACTTACCAATAATGGCGACAGCATCTGCCAGCAAGTGACCGCGAGCGATCTGATCGAAACCACCCAAGTGGGCAAAACCAGGAGCACGGATCTTGCAACGGTAGGGTCTCTCGCTGCCATCACTGACCAGGAAAACACCCATCTCACCCTTGGGGGCCTCAATGGCAGAGTAGGTCTCACCCGGGGGAACGGCGTAACCCTTGCTGAAGAGGAGGAAGTGGTGGATGAGGGCCTCCATGTTCTCCTTCATAGCTGCACGAGGGGGTGGCGAGAGCTTGTAGTCCTCGACCTTGACAGGGCCAGCGGGCATCTGGTTCAAGCACTGGTGTATGATACGGAGGGATTGGCGGAACTCCTCCATACGGCAGAGATAGCGATCGTAGCAGTCACCGTTGACACCGACGGGAACGTCGAATTCAACCTGGTCGTAAGCGTCATATGGCTGGGACTTGCGGATATCCCATGGCACACCAGAGCCACGAAGCATGACACCAGTGAAGCTCATGTTCAGTGCATCAGCGGCGCTGACAACACCAACGCCCTGGGTTCTGGCCTTCCAGATACGGTTATCGGTGAGCAGCTCCTCGGTCTCGTCAATACGGTCACCGAACTGGGTAGCCCACTGGTAGATATCGTCGAGAAGGCCGAGGGGGATATCCTGGGACACACCGCCGGGGCGGACGTAGGCGGCGTGGAGACGGGCACCGGAGACACGCTCGTAGAATTCCTAAGCGAGGGATTGACCATCAGCTACTTTGTCTAATGTGCTTGTGGTGAAATTAATGTTGCTTACCATGAGCTTTTCACGCTCCTCGAAACCCCACAGGAACGGCGTAAGAGCACCAACGTCCATAGCGTGAGAAAGAACGGACATGAGGTGGTTCAGAATACGGGTCAACTCTCCGAACAATGTCCGGATATACTTGGCTCTCTCAGGGATTTCAATGTTCAGCAACTTCTCGACAGCCAGGGAGTAGCACTGTTCATTCGTCATCATGGAGACATAGTCCAATCGGTCGAAGTAAGGCAGAGCCTGCATGTAGGTCTTGTATTCGATCAACTTCTCGGTACCACGATGAAGCAATCCGACGTGAGGATCCGCGCGGACAATCTCTTCACCATTGATCTCCAGAATCAGTCGAAGCACACCGTGAGCAGCAGGATGCTGAGGGCCGAAGTTGACTGTGTAGTGACGGATTTTGCGGCCGACCCCTTCGCTCTCGGATTCGAGACCAGCGGCAACATCGGGTTCTTGGGGACCTTCCTTGTTAGCCAGACTTGTGAAGGTGGGATCAGTGGGAATAAGTCTGGTAGCCTGGTAGCTGGTCGGCTCCGCTTGCCGACGAGGAAGCGACGTCGCTATCGAGCGGGATCTGGGGATGGCGTTGTATTTGGTGAAGTTGGAGGGGCGGAGACAAAGCCTTTTGGGCGCACCGCCCGCCAGGCGAGTAAAGGAAGCAGCCATTCGGAAGAGAGAGGAGAAGGACGAGGAGGAATTGGAGGTTGTCGGTCCTCAGTCCGGACGCAATTGATGGAGGGACTCTGCGGAGTGGTCTACACGGGTTGATGCTTGGAGGTTGCGCTGAATTACAATTTGGACGGTCACGTGAGGAGGAGCTTATGGTCATCAGGCCGTCTCTGGTTGGTCTTCAGTTCCGTCTTATTCTGCACCCACGCTAGCTCACACTGCAAGGGAAATCGGTAAATCACGGGCCGCCCTTCCACCGAGTTGTCTGCCATTCCGGGTGCAGTATAGTGAGGCGTACTCTCCGCCTTCGACCTGCAGACATACTGCCGGTTTTCTAAAGAACTTTTTTCCCTTTTTCTCTCCATATCGTCAACGACTTGATACCCGCAAATTACTCACCCACCATGGCGCCTCTCGTTCCTTCACAGGCGGAGCTTGATCGCCGGAGGGTAATATATCCTATCAGCACCTATTCGCGTTTGCTTACTATGCTAATTATTTCCTAGCTCGTCGATATCAATCTGGAAACAGTCTCCAACATCCCCTCCACAGACTTCCCAGGTCACTGGCCGGGTGAGTCGCATGAGTGGAATTTGGAGAAATTTAGAAATGTACAGTCCTGGCTTCTCCCTTGCATTCTATGCACTTACCTGCCTCTATGTTCTGCGTGTGCTTACATTATTTTGCTCCACAGGAGTTCAATGTTGAGTTCCATCGCAATGAAAGATTCGAATCTTCCTTCTCTCTCATCGGCGTCGACGCTTCGATCGCAAATGCCTTCCGCCGTATTGTCATGGCTGAAGTGCCCAGCGTAGCCATCGAGTTCGTCTTCGTTCACAACAACACCTCCGTTATCCAGGATGAAGTGCTTGCACAGCGATTGGGTCTGATTCCACTGAAGGGCTCCGTGGATGGTATAAACTGGATGCGCTGGTTCAAGAAGGCTACCGAGGATGAACCCGAGGGCAGTGATCCTTCCGATTACAATACCATCGTCTTGCGACTGGATATCGAATGTACCGAGAACCCTAACGCCAACTCCTCGGAGAATGACCCCCGAAAGCTATACAAGAATGCGCATGTTTACGCCAGAGACATTACCTTCCACCCTGTCGGACGTCAGGAGCAATTCTTCACTGGCGAGGATGCCATCCAGCCGGTCAACCCAGACATCCTGATCGCTAAGCTTCGCCCGGGTCAGAAGATCGACCTGGAAATGCACTGTATCAAGGGTATCGGAGCCGACCATGCTAAGTTCTCGCCTGTTGCTACCGCCTCGTACCGCTTGCTTCCCGACATCCAGATTTTGCGCCCCATTGTTGGAGAAGATGCTAAGAAGTTCGCCAAGTGCTTCCCTAGGGGTGTGATTGGTTTGGAGCCTGTTACCCGGGAAGAGGCCGCGAAGCAGGGGAGCGGATACGAGGGCCACGAAGGCGAGACGAAGGCTGTTGTTCGCGACGCCTTCAAGGATACTGTTAGCAGGGAATGTCTCAGACATGAGGAGTTCCAGGGCAAGGTGAAGCTCGGTCGCGTCCGCGACCATTTCATCTTCAACATCGAGAGCACAGGCCAATTCGATAGCGATGTCCTTTTCTTAGAAAGCGTGAAGGTCCTGAAGCTCAAATGCGCCAGATGGAAGCGGGGATTGGCAGATCTTATGCGATGAACGTGCTCTATGCTATGTTCCCGCACTTCATGTTAAAATCTTTAATGCATGGTCGGCGTTGGTTTCGTTTGCTATTTTGCGAGTTTGTACAGTTCATAAAAGTTGGTCAAGACCTTCTTTTGTTGGGAGTCTGGATAGGGCGATTTTTGTCATATAGAAAACGCACAATTGATATTGAAGCCTTGATCTAGCAAGAAAGTCTTGTATTTATCGTAACGACTCATATCTCATATGAAGAGTAAAAAGTTGTTATTCTTATTTGAACAGCAACCGGTAGCGGAAATCGATAGTATAAGCGGGGTCGCTGACTGCGATCTCTTGCCCGTCTTCTACTAAATCTCTAAGCTTGTAGTTTAGATTGGCCCTGGTCTGTTCCTCCAATTGAGGCGGGAAACGCTGGTAGAGTGTCTTTTCTTCCGTTCTCATGCTAGGCTTCTTAAGCTGAGCTTCCGGCCGGTCGCCAAGAGTGTCGATGTACTCTTGCAGCGTCATGTCCGGATCAACGGTCATGCTTCGCGCGAGGTTGCCACAGACAGGGCAATCCGGTTTCTTTTCAGCCTCGAACGTATAGGTGTACACACCTTCTTCGCCGGCGTACATCATATAGTTGTCAAGGTACGGGTTGCACGATGTGGCGATCTTTAATGCCTCAGATGTTGTCGCAGCGGCAATGACGGCGTTTGTAGAGGCGATTGCAGGAATGATGTTCTTGACTACACCCTGGGTCATCTGGAAGGTGACTCCGTGGATATGGAATTGCTTTGCTCGCTCCAGAGCCGCATTGTACAGCCAATTAATGTGGTCCAGATCATCACTATCGAAAGGGTCGTCCTTGCGCTTTTCCTGCCAGGCGATCTGATGCGCCCACTCGATACAATGCTGGGGCTGCGAGGTATAGTCGCAATTGTGCATAGCGGAACCGCAGGGCGGGGAGCATGCATGTCAAGCTGACATTCAATGCACGAAGACAGAGTTGGTAGAATAACACGCGCCTGCCCTTTGAAGCCTGGTCCTTGTTAGCCTCCTGTGATGGCCCAGGGTGGTCGAATTCCATACCTTCAGTTCCTCCATCAATGAGAGGCTTCAGGCTCTCAGGGTTTTCAGGATCAACCATGCCAATAAGGGTGGCATTGATCCATCGTCTTGCTTCTATGCTATCGAGACCGCAAACGACTATCTTGAACTGCATATAGTAATCCTCATCCTTATCTTGAATCTTCCCTACATAAGGGGTAATTTTGACGCCTTTGACTCGTCTCTCTACGAAAGCAGCCGCAACCTCGGCTTTAGGTTTGCCGATGTCAGACTGACGAAATAAAAACTGACGATTCAGATTAGAGATGTCGATGGTATCTGTTATAGTTAGCTGTGGACCCAGGACAAAGTGATAGGGGAAAGACTCACCCATATCAATAACATGGATATCCTTGAAACCGGACAAAGCAAGGTTCTTCAGGATCTCGCATCCTAGACCTCCAGCCCCGCTAAGATCGTTTCACTTAGTGACCATACCCATCTACAACAGGAGGGGCGCGTATATACATACATCACTCTGGGCTACGTTAGTGGTTGATGATTTGCTTAATCACTTCAGAACATACAGAATTTTTGACGTCTCCAAAGCACTAATGGTTTCCGGACCAGGCACCCAGTCTTCATCGCTGAAAGGTCCCGGCTTGGTTAAAACCTTGTGGAGGTGTTTCCTGCGTGGAGTAAGCGAAACTATTAATGATAAAAGTGAGAAGGGCATCTTACCACCTAAGGTAAGAGTCTGCGGAAGCCATATTGGGCAAAGGTTGCGCTCTATTCAATCTAGGCTACAATGGGCGTCTCTGTAATTAGTTGATTTCACCGCATCCGTAGTTAATGACGCCAGTAGCTCGAGCTGTACACTTCACTAAAATGAGTGTTTCAGAAGAGTCGATGATAAATACAAGTCTCCTTTTTAAAAGCCACCTAAATCCTCAGGGCACAAATGAGACAACCTATGCCTGGCGGAAACAAGTGCAGGTCGTGAAGATGGGGGATCGTTGATTGATTGATTGATTGTTCCAGATACACTCCGCTGCACGTGACCCCTCCGCTTATACAATTTCCTCCAACCTTTGCCAATCATTCTATTTTCTTCCAACGCCAGTTACTCAAGAAAATGGACGGCTTATTGACAGAGGTTAAGACCGTTACTCATGGCCGGGATACGTCTCTGTCGATTGTCAAGGAGGGACCTGTCGACGGATTAGAGAGGCATAAAGCCACTTCAGAAGCCGACACCGATGCAGATCCAACATCTGCGGATTATATATTAACAGTACTGCAATCGAAGCCTGACCGCGCGGGACTTTATGGCGTCTTAAAAGTACTGGATCCATCAAATGAAAGCATAATCCCAAAGGCCTTTGATATTAGAGTCCCAAGTCCGACAGCAGCTCAAATACTTAATGCCTTAGGCACCGTCACGGTCCCTGATCATTGGGCCTCATTGAATACAAAGTCAAAGGGTTCAACGCCAGAGGACAATAAACTACGAGCCGCTCTGTTGAGATGCTTTAGCAGCGTGTCTGGTACAAGTTGCTTGGTGGCTCAACTCCGCTCACTTATAACTGCGGCGCGGTCATCCTCCCAACAGACGAAAGAATCAGGGCCTCAAATTCAGATCCGAGATATTCTGACATTTCTTTCTGCTCTCCTGAAGCCCAAAGATCTTACATTGCGCATATACATGGATATTGAAGCTCTCTACAGCAATACAACTCAGAAGCAGGTTGCCTGGAGAGAATTCCTATCTCTTGTTGCTGCTAGCAAGGTTCTCTCGGCTACAGCGGAGGCTCTCACGTTAGCTGGGAATTTTGATGGATTGAGTACAATCTTATGGATTGGAGACGGCCCTAAATATACCTCTTGGTTAGGTACTAACATCTGTCACATGGTGTCAAAACTTGATTTCGATAACCGGGATGCTTGGAAAGCGGTTGCCTCTCTAACCGGACGAGCATTGAGCCTTGGCTATACAGGTACTTTGCACTACTCATACCCCATTTCTTATACTGATATTCATACCCAGATTATTTGGCCTGCGAATTGTACACCAGCTTGCTCATCAACGAGACTCTCCGAGAACGATATAGTTCTCTCTTCGATGAACTTCGGCCGATGGAGCAGTTTGCGGTGTTGGAAGCTACGTTCCGCGAAGTTGACAAGAAATATTTCTTGACATTGATCGATGAGAGCAACGAGGCTATTCTAGACCAGCATGTTAATGTTGTTGCAGGACTGTGTTATAGCATTATTGGAGAGCGCCAACATATGCAAACTCAGCTTCTGGATTGGCTGTCAAAAGGCCAGGGTGGCTCTATAAAGACTATCGGGTTACGCCGGGCATTGCTGGCTAGCTTTGCAGATCAGAAGGGTAAGTTCAACTCAGCATTGTCTTAAAGTCTTTAGTAACATGGGGTGGTATAGACTCAATGATGACGCTGCTCAAAAAGAGCCTGGAACAGTCTAGTGACAAGTTCTACATTAAGCATGCGCCAATTGTGAGCCAAGAAGGTACACCCACGTCTTTAAGACTGTAGTTAAGGCCTTGATAATGACATACCTCAGCGAACACCCAAGTCCTCCTTCTGGCAGCAGGATACCTTAAGCGGCTTGATTCAAATGCCATGATGGAAATAGGACGTTCGAGTGCGTTTCTTAACGCGGTTTCCAACCGTTTAGCCGCGTCATCATCTAAAGCTCGATTTCTTGGAATGATCATTGGGATGTCAATTTCGCAGCTCATTGAACAGCCAGGGAAAGCAATGAAATTCGACCTCGAAGAAATGGAAAGCGAACGGGCTTTATGGTACTTCAACTTGGTCAACACTCAAGACAGTGTTGGGTCTTTGGAATCAATTAAATCGCCAACTGACTCAGAACCTGCCAAACGCTCATCCAACCCGGCAACTGCTACTCGAAAACCGCCACTTCCGCGGACAGCGAAGATAGTGGCCATTGAAGAAATAGAGTCCGAAAATGAAAAGTCTGAAGATGAGGACCTTATCCCCTACGAAAAACCCGATGAAGATCCATACGATTCAGACGAGGACCCAACGTTAATCCAACGCAACAAGCCAACAGCACCAGTGTGAGTCGGGCAAGAATATTCTCTTGTATAAATGTGACTGACATGCTTTAGCTACATCCGCGACCTCATAATCTGCCTAAGAGACACGGAGAATATAGAACGTTTTGAACTGGCGATATGCACTGCGCCCTCATTAATCAGACGTAAAACTGCCTTTGGGACTGAGCTCGTTGAAAATACCGAAGAGCTGGCTCTTGTCATAGTTGGTTTACAAGAGCAGAGCAAATTCCCAAAATTCCATGAGTATCGGCTCCAGAGTATCATCGCCTTGATCGTGTCCCAGCCTTTGAGGATGGGCCGATGGTTCACTGCGATGTTCTTCGACGGAGACCTGTCTCAAGTCCAACGATCCGCAGTTCTGACAGGTCTAGGTCTGAGTGCTCGTGAAATAGCTGGGAATGGCGAGAATGACGCTAAGACACTGGGCCTCCCAACACTACCAGACACGTTGTTCCCATCCAAGAAGTTACCAGCCAATCTGGAAGCTTTATACTCGAGCAATGAATCTCCAATCGCCAGTCTAACAAAGAAGCTAGCACAAACTTCCCTCCAACCGCTGGCAGCTAATGCTGCCGATTCGCTTTCTGGCCCGAACGCGCTTAAAGTCCGAACATTCTCTTCCCGAATGGAGGTCGAGAAGCAACGTCAGCAGCGAGAGGCCCAACGACAGAAATCTACAGCTAAGGATCTCTACAAAGTGTTGGTGGAAGGGTTCTTCTACCCACTAAAGGGTCGATTTGAGATCATGATGCTACAGTTCTCTTCGTGAGTACTACCTAATAAATGACACTTCTACCAGGACCTCATTCTGACAACGATACAGATCAACAGCACCTTCATATAACCCCTTCCTCACTCCTAATCTCCTTACGTTATTCATCCAGACCCTTACCCTCACCCTTTCTACTATGGGGCCTCATACCCCGTACCTCCCTACTGTCACTGAGGACGCATTAACATTCCTCCTCTCGCTCCACACACGTCCCGTTTCTGATGACCCCATAATCCTCTCTGCTCTTCTGGCTTTCTTCCTCGCGATGGTAGATTTGAACGTCGCATCAGGCTCTACTGGCGAGGAACGACTCGTCACCGAGTTCGCGTCGCAGGTCATCGAGCTGCGGGATTGGGCAGGTGAGGTTTTCGACCGTACACCTTCAGTCAAGGGAGACGAGCCCAGAGAACAGGTTAGAACGTTAGCAGCAGGGGTCATGGTAAAGCTAGGAGAAGTGATGGAACGGTACCAAGGGCGGTTGATGGGCGTGAATTCTGGGTTTAAGTATTGATCTGTGTAGATAGAAATAGTGTACTCCGTACACTACCCAACAATCCAGTATAAAGTGCTCAGCGTATCATTTTCATTCATGGTTATTAACTAAGTCATGACGATTAAGATATAACTATGCATAACAATTACTCGCAAAGGCCCTCGTACCCCATGACCAGTTATTCCGTCTTCGTGAAATCTTGCTTCTCAATCGCAGCCTCCATCATCTTATCCCCATTGATAATGCTTGTGGTACAGATCACGATCTTCCTCCTCGGTGCCTCCTGCTCAGCAATAAACCGCAATGCAGCAATTTCCGTAAACGTAATACCACCCAAGAAAAACACATAAACTGTCTTGGTAGCATTGTTACCGCTAAGTGTTTGTCGGGCACGGATCGCCTTGTCATCGCCCTTTTGGACGATACTGAACGTTGCGCCGCGGGCGCTCTTGACTACGTCTTCGAACCCAAGCCAGCCTGGGGACGCGGTACTCGCTGGACTGGGCGAGGCGGAGGCAGCGACGGATCCACCTCGGATGAGCGAGAGGACGTATGGCTTTTGCAGGACGCATTGGACGAGACGGACGCTGAGGGGGGCGAAGCCGCTGTAAACGTAGGCGATGTCGTTCGGGTCCTTCTCGCTGACTTCCTCGACTACGAGACGGAGGTTCTTACGTAGATAGCCATAGTTTGTTTTGGAGCCTGGTTGAGTTCCCGTTGTCGGGAGGAGCATGGCTGTAGCGGAGGATCGGGGTTGAAGGAGTTCCATTTTCTCGAGAGCAGAGAACGTGAGTAGGTGTTGGTGGCCGTATGCGTGGACGATCTGTCGCTTGAAGTTTTCGAGGTCGCGTGGGCGGAGACCGCCTGCCATGCAGGATTCCAGACAAAGGAGGCGGAGGACGGTTTTGAGAGGGACGTCGCGAGCGATGAGCTCTTCGACAGAGTCGTGTTGGTAGGTTGGGTCAGCGCCTGCAGCGTTGTTTTGCTGGACTTCAAGGACCTTGCGAAAGATGTCTGAGCGGGTGTTTCGCATGATCTCCTCGGCGAGGTTGGTGTGGACGCGGAGGCTTTGATGCTCCAGTTGGTATGTTGGTAGCTTGTTGACGAACTCGCGGAGTTCGGTTGTGGTCTTCGCTGTGTGGCGGCTTTCGTAGTCACTTTCGAGACGACGGGCTACCTTGTTCAGAATGTCGCCGACAATGGCGAAGTTGGCGTCACGCAATTGGCTGAAGAGTTGATCGGAGGCGTCTAGCTGGATTTTGCGCTTTTGGCCCTGCTTGGATGTTTGCTGTGGGACTTTGGAAGATTCTTGTGCTTGGGGGGCAGGTGTTGGGCCGACGATGGCTGTGTCCACATCTGCCTGATTGTGCTTGATCCCTACTGTTTCATCGATCAAGCCTTCATACGTGAGTTGAGTGAGAAGGGCAGAGCCGAAGTCGACTTCTCGGTCAATGATGATCAGGCTTTCAGTGTCTGCGCTTGGGAGGAGCCCCCTGGAGCTGAGGTCAGTCAGGCCAGAGCTCTCTTCAGCGTCAAGCTCCTTCCTCATGCGTAGCAAAAGATCTGCCAGTCGTCGTGCATTGTCACCCTTGCCGATTATACGGGGGAAGTAACCGTGCCTCTGCTGAATACTCATGAGAGCCTTGGCGGCCAGGTAGACACAGCCTGGATCCTTGTGCTGCGACAATCAATATGCATCCTTTCGCAGGACAAGGCTGAAGCTTACCAGGTACAAGTCGCTAAACGAGTCATCTAGCTCTAATGACAAGACATCTTGCTCCAGAGGCATGAAGTGCACGGGAAGTTCTGCGATGTTCACATCCCCGATGATTCCTGCATCTTCTAGGATTGCATTGCTTACAAGCGTACGTCTTGGGGCCCAGAATATAGAGAATTCATGTTCAACATTTCCATTCCGCTGTAGGCGTTTAATCTGGTCTAAGAGATGTCAGCTCATTCTGATGGCATTCAGTCGGAGAAATTGAGAAAGAAAGCCTTATGGATGAGCTGATATAAAATAACAAGATTCTTAATTTAGGGATCATTTGACTACGTAGAGTAGGAATGCATCTGCGTAATCTACTGTTTGTCCCATGTGTGGTGTCCGCGCTTCACCATTCATAAGACGAGCAGACAGAAACAAAACTACGAGACGGTGGTAAGCAGAAAACGACATACCTGCGACGGTCCGCACCTGGCGTGTCTTTTCAGCATGAACTAGAAATACGACATTGCGTTGAGAGGAGTCCACATTGGCATTCTCCAGTAGGAACACTCGGTCTACACCGTACTCTTGGAGTAGAGAGAACTTGACAAATAGCCCGACTGGACCGGCCAGATCCTGGCTGACAACAAGGTTCTTCTTCCCACGCACCTGCACCGATTTCAGCTAAGCCCGAGAGATATGTTGGTGCCTTGAGAGACCCGGAGCCTTACTCACGCCTTCAAGCAGAGTCAACAGATCCCTACGCGCTTTATCCTTAAAATAGTCAGCATCGGACCCAAAATACGGCGCCATGGCTGCCAGGGAAGCACTTGAGGACGTGTGATTGGGAGAGGAAGGCAAAGAAGCCAACCTTGAATGTTTTCGGCGACGTCCTTTTGAGGCTTTGACGGTACACGCTAAACCCTGTCCGGCCTAGTCACTACACCGCCCAGCACTGCCACATGGGGTTTGTATGGATGTACTGTACAATACAGGTATTGCAGTTAGGTAGCCTTTTTGTCAAGGACCCTTTGATTAAGCCGTGGTACTGGTAATATTTGTCGCCACGGGGTCTCGACTCTCCATCCAATAATTCCCCAGGAGGGTCTCCTTTAATTGTGCCAGTTTCACATTTCCTTTCTCCTGTCTCAGTTCTTCCCCCTCTCGGTTATTGGAGCCATTCCACCTTCTTCTGTTCAGTCTCATATCCTGCTGTATTTGCTGTTTTCTTTTCTTTTCTTTTTTATTTTGGCTGTATGTGTTTGTGTGTGCTTCATACCCATTTGCACTAAGTTCAGGTTCTACTACAAGATGGTATTCGGACGTAAGAAGGACGACGACGATTCCTCTAACCGCCGTGCGCTCTTCGGCTCTAGGTCGAAGAATAAGAGCCCCGCGCCTCCCGCCAACCCTTACGCAAAGCCTATTCCTACTGACCCTTATACTAAAGCCAAGATCAATGCCGGAGTGGCTCCTCTACCAGCGGGCGAACAGCCACCTGCTCACAACACCCCTGCGGGCGCAAACGTCCCTGGCGATAACAAGCTCCAGGGAGGTTACGCTCCCAACAAGTTTGTCAACCAAGGTGGATATGGAGGTGATCGATTTGGTGGTGGGGGTCCAGCCCCGGCCGCGTCGCGTTATGGCCCCGGTGGCTATGGAGGATTAGGTAGCGCCGATCCCAATGATCCAGGTGACGCTGGCAGAGAAGCATTGTTTGGAGGAGCTAGGGAAAGAGCGGAACAACAGCAGCCACAGGGTGCACCACCACCCCCGTACTCCGAGGGCACCCCCTCTTACGGCGGCGGTAGCAATGCATACACCACCTCGACCTATCAGGAACGCCATCTTACAGCAGAGGAAGAGGAAGAGGAAGAGATCCAGACCATCAAGCAGGACATCCGGTTTATCAAGCAGGGTGATGTGGCATCCACCCGGAATGCCCTTCGTATCGCGGCACAGGCCGAGGAGACAGGCCGGGAGACTCTTGCTCGTTTGGGTGCGCAAGGCGAGCGTATCCACGATACTGAGAAGAGCTTAGACATTGCCACGATAGAAGGCCGTATTGCCGAGGAGAAGGCAAAGGAGTTGAAGACGCTTAACAAGAGCATGTTCGCCGTTCATGTCTCAAACCCTTTTACCAGCGCCCGTCGTCGCCGAGACCGCGATGAGAAGATCTTGAATACTCACCGGGAAGAGCGTGAAACACGTGAAGGCACTCGCAAGGAGGCTTTCGGCACCAACCAGCGTATGGAGCGCACTTTCAGAGAGATCGACCGTGAAGCCGGCAAGCATAACGGACGAGCGCGTACGAACGCTACCGAGCGTGCTAAATATCAGTTCGAGGCTGATAGTGAGGATGAGGCGATGGAGGACGAGATTGAGCAGAATCTGGACTTGCTTTCCGGAGCAGCTGGCCGGTTGCATGGGCTTTCTAAAGCGACAGGTCGCGAGCTGGATGAGCAGAACCGCCATCTGGAGCGTATCATGCAAAAGGTGAGCTTCACTAATTTCGACCATGCTTGTAGAATAGGAGCTAATTCCGTAATAGAGCGATTTTGTCGACGACCAGATTGCTATGAACCGCGCCAAGCTGGACCGGATTCGTTAGATTCCCCGTGGTATATAGAGAATTTGCGGGAAAGTTGTCGACGCCTGGTGCTCTCAACTTCAATGCGAATTGTCACTGTGCATATTTTTCCCATCAACTACATATCCATGGCGTTCTGGGTTCTCACATCTTCAATCCTAGTGTTTGTTGCCTACCTTGATTCTTGGGGGTTTGCATTGGAGGAAATTAATGGTACTTATTACTTTCGGTCAAATAGAGCATATTCTGATCTATAGCCAAGTTGGCCGCAAGTTATATGGTAGGCTCTATTGTAGAACATAAAGATTTGATTATCTGCTCAAAGACATCCACTAGGCTGGTACGGAATTCCGTCTCCGATTGCTTACCACAGCTACTCATCATACACCTAGTTGGAAATGACCAATTATGAATCTGGCAGACCGAAAACAATCCAGCACTCTATCGAAAAAGCATGTCAATAGCATTCAGTACTGGCTCAGTCAAGCTCTTCTACCCAGCTACCATTCCTGAAGCCCAGGACTCTGGGCATACTTGTCAGGGCGGTTGATCCTTTTACTGAGACCACAGTACTGGGTTCTGAGCTTGCTAGATTCCTCACGTGGATTGAACAGGTCTGTCTTGTCAAATACCTGGCAAATTTCCAGGAATTGTAGCCCATCATAAATCATCAACATATACTACCGCATATAAGACTCCACCATACCCACTACAGACGATAACGAAACCCCACCGTCTTCCAATCAGTCACATCCTCATAATCTTCTGGCCGCAAATCGACCGACCTCACCAACTCCGAAACATCATTGTCACCCCGTCGCCGCTCCTGGACCACCTTGCCTCCAACAGCGCCCGACAAACCAGCATTGCCCTGCACGCCCTCCTCATGATCCCTTCTCTTATTAGTATACTGCAAATAAACCCTTAACGAGATAGCCAAGCCACCAGAAATGATATAGCAGATCAAAATTGCTTTAAACGAAGTCTGATACGTTGGTGCCTCACTCGCTCTAAACAACTGTGGGCCTGCAATATTCCCCGCACAGTATGCCACGAACATCATGGCAGTCATCGTCATTTTCTTCGTGACGCCCCTGTAATTCGCCTGGACGAGAGACATAGCCAGGGGCAAGGCACCCGGCCCCGTCGCGAGGAGGAAGTATCCGAACAGCTGAGCACCTAGAGGGACATGATGAGCGCGGGCGTAGATCAGAGCACTTCCTATGATTGATAAAGCAACAATACAGACGATCAAGATGCAGTTCATCTGTCTATAGCGACCCGCTAACCAGCCTGTAATAGTGATCGTAGAGGCGCTGACCACACTAGAGGGGATATTAATGAGTGTGGATTCAAGCGACGTAAACCCGAAGGATTTAATGACAAGATTTCCAAAGTTTTGCGTACCCCCGTTCGGAATCTGCGTTAGAATGGCGATGGCGAAGAGATGCCAGGTTTTGGGGTCCTGGATACACTCGGATGCCTGCTCCCATTTCCAGTTTGTTTTCTCGGTGCGTCCGGTTCCGGCAATTACCGCGCGATGCGCCATGAATTCCCGTTCTTGGGGTGTTAGGAACGTGGCTTTTGATATGCTATCTGGTAGGAAGGCGAGTAGTACGAATCCCCATAGGAAGGTGGCAATGCCCAAGATGATGAACATCCACATCCATGGTCGGAGAGGGTGCTCGATGTGTCCTATGCCATAAGCTAGGAGACTAGCGACGAGACCGCCGATGGAGTTTCCTGAGAACCAGATCCCGGTTCGGAAGGGGATCTCGTCCCGTGTATACCATGTTGTCGTGATGAACATGAACGCCGGGGTGATCGTTGCTTCTGCGATGCCTAATAGGAATCGGACTGCAAGCAAGCCGCCGTAGTTGACGCAGGCTGCGGTTAGGGCCACGACAGCGCCCCAGAAGAGGGTGTTGGCTGCCATGTATTTTGCGACGGGGAGTCGGGGAATGAGATAGTTTGTAGGGACTTCCCAGAAGAAATAACCGAAGTAGAAGATGCTGGACACCCAGCTGTATTGCTGTCCGACGAGGTGCTGGGTGCGGTTAGTTTGGGGTGGTTTGTGGGAAGTACTAGCTACTAGTAGGGTATAGATGGGTGCATACTGTGTCGTCAATGAGGCCGAAGACGGACGCGCTTGATAGAATGGTTTTATCCATGAAATTGAACATATATGTAATAAACAAGAGAGGAATGAGTCGCATATCCACTTTGCGCAATGTTCTGGAGGCAATGACCTGGGCGTTATCATCGTGGTTGCTTTCGTCTATGGCTCGAGCTGTCGAGGCCATGATGACGCGTTTTATGTTTATGATTTGTTTTAATAATGGGAATATTGTTCATTTCACGATACTGCGCAAAAGGCCTGGTGGGGAGATAGCATTTTATAGATCTACTATTCCAAAAGGAATAAAGGGAGGGGGCATGCTCTTATCATGATTTATCTACTGTGCAGCTGATAAGCCTAAGATGTCGGTAAATTAACCGATTGGAATGCAGGTAAATTAATGTCATGTAGACTTCATCTTTCTACTTATACTCACCCCTAATATATGGTTCTACATAATGGTATGCTACTTTGAACAAGCAATTAAGGGTAATATCTTTAAATATGTAACGTAAGCAAGATGTGTGGTAAGTGAACATATCTATTGTATACCTTCACAGACGCTGATTCCTACTCTTTCGGGGCACAGGCCCACTATTGATTAAGAAGAACTTACAATCTTAGATGGGATTGCTGCAGGTAGGATAAGTCATACCGACTAAGGATTTGCTTTCTACAAGAACGGAATTTTATTCTCACTACACTAGCACAAACCTGAGACCGTTGACCAAGGTACCAAGGTACCAAGTTGTTGTGTGTGGTGAGGTCTAAATCCGGTGGGTTCGCGCCGAAGTGAGATACTCTAAACAGAATCTAGCTTTCACGGTGAAATGTAAATCTAGCGATGTTCGCTCGATAGTCTGACATAAAAGCCGCCAGAGGTTCCTCTTGCCCACAATCGTCTGGATTGTTCATTCGAGGACTGTTCATCTTCAGCGGCTTCGAACCTCAACAGAGCTCGAGCACACAAGCGCTCGATATCACAGAAACAAACAGTATTGGAAGTATAATCGACCATATTGGCCTCCGCGATCCCTTCTTGCCAGGTGAATCCCAATGCCTAGTTTTCTTATGGTGATTCTCCCGACATTAGATAGCTCGAAGTCACTCATCCTCTTTTGGCCCACCTTATATAGCATCCAGGTATGTTGATTTGAAATATGGCCCAGATATCCGACTGGTATATCATTTGCTTCCTTTGCCAGTTCTTAGTGAATGATTCTTTTAGTGCGACAAGGCTCCCTCTAGCTGAAAGTTCCAGTCTACCGTATGTCATAGATAATGAGCCAATATAGCAACCCAAGGAAGTAGCTCTGACAAGCTGTCTCATATACCGTGTGGATAATACAATTATAGCAACTCAAACTCACCGTCTACGTAGGGAGTTCTCAGGTGGCTTGTCCGAAGGATTCGAAAAGCACATTGGCCGTGTCAGTAAGCTAATTGAGAGGTCTCCAAGCCCGAGCAGAAAGTCACCTGCTTACAAGCACTTGATTACCTGATGAAATAATCTGAGGCTATCAAGAACGCGGGAGGACTATTGGAATGTGGATTGATCTACATGTGGCCTCTTACAGTAGATGAATAATTCCTCGGCCTAGTTAGGGCACAATTACCAGGTGTTTAATATTCGTGCTGAGAAGAGATAAGCCCTCCTTATCAATCCTTGTCCTAACCAGTAGATAAAATATGAAAACAAAGAACCCAGTTGTACGCGTTGTATACGTGACGGACCTTACCAGAACGCTGACCATTACTATATTAGACCCACTCATAACAACCAAGGCACGTGCGTATAGGGACCGTTAAGCCACATTCGGTATGTACAAATAGCAATTATGGCTGATTGCAATCCAGAACAGCTCGTGCTCGTTTTGATGGACCACGATGTTTGAACCACGAGTACCTTCGTTATGTTACTGTCAATGGGATCCATGACTTCGGGGTTCACAAGTTCATCTTGTTACCAGTCACGTAGTATATGGTCAAACATTTGGATTAGTTCTCAGTTCTATGGCAGCAAAATTATTGTCTTCCGCGGACTATTTAGTGGCAACTTTTACATTCTTTTCCCGATGAATTATATCTAGTGTCGTAACCTATGACTTTAAAATATAGACATAAGGTAATACGGCAACCAATGCATACCCTGGACAAAAGGAAAGTCGAAGATACTCAAGAAATCAATATTAATTAACACTTATTTGCACTCATCGGAAGATCTCCGCAAAGATATGTAACGGCAATGAGGGGAATCTAAAACTTGGGATGTCATTAGCTACGGCCCCCGATCCTTCGCACCTTTCTTATCAGAAAAACGGCCGATTGTCGGACAGTGCCGCCGAAGGAATGACTCCAATGGACCCTCAAATCCATTGCCCAATGTCCCCATAGATTGAGATACTACTTACAATATACTCAGAGCATGACTGAGAGAACTTGAGCCCTAAACATACCTTCCATCAAGAGTTGGATACGAAGCATGAACGGCCTCCAAATAACTCCTTTCATAAGCTCCCTCCCCAAAGTCGAACTACATGTCCACATCGAAGGCACCCTAACACCAGCCCTCCGATGGAAGCTCGCTCACAAAAACAACATCCCTCTTCGATACCCCACCTACGAAGCGCTGGTTGACTCATACAAAATAACGTACAATCACCGTCGCGAGCTCAATGGCGACAATGGTGCCCCCACCTTCCTAGAAACCTATTACGAGGGCTGCCAGGTCCTCTGCACAGAAGATGATTTCTACGAGCTTACTATGACGTATTTCGAAAAGGCAAAAGACATGAACGTGCGCTATGTCGAGCCATTCTTTGATACCCAGGCTCATACTAAACGAGGTATTCCCATTGAGGCAGTGTTGAATGGGTTTCTCCGCGCCCAGCATGATGGAGCCAGAGAACTCGGAGTGAAGAGTAACTGGATCTTCTGCTTCCTGCGTGACCACCCGGTCGAGGAAGGACTGGGGGCGTTTCGCTCTGCGTTGCCTTGGGCTCGAACAAAGGATGGAAAGGGGAAGGGGTTATTCCATGCGGTCGGACTGGCGAGTAATGAGTATGATCGACCTCCGGGACTCTTTGAAAAGGGGTTTCTGTTGGCCAAGGAGGCTGGTTTACATGTGACCATGCACTGTGATGTTGACCAGAAGGATGTGGTGGAGCATATGCGCGAGGGTATTTTCAATGTCTGTGCGGGTTCTGGAGCGGATCGGATTGACCATGGTCTCAATGCGACTGATTCTCCGCAGTTGATAGCCGCGTTGAAAGAGAAAAATATCGGGCTCACGCTTTGTCCACATGCGTACCATCGCAGACAGGCGACGGAGGTGCTTTTTCCTAAGATCAGGAAATTGTGGGACGAGGGTGTCCAGTTTTGTATTAATAGTGATGATCCGACTTATATGCATGATGTTTGGATTGATGGAAACATGATGAAGGTGTACAAGTATTGCGGTTTTACTAAGTCGGATATGGGCAAGCTCGTTCAGAATGCGGTTGAGATGAGCTGGGCAGATGAGGTTACAAAGAGGGAGATCTTTCAGGATTTGGAAAGAGTGCTGGGTGTTGAGAACTTACCTAGTTAGAGAAGCGTCCAGAGTCATGTCAATCAGCTCTGCAGTGCCTTGATTAGACTCATGAGGTGTTTCTCGGATTGAATTCGTGAGGCATTCAGGCTCCAGCCCGAGTATAAACCCCCCCTCCTCTGTTCCCCCTCTATTTCCTCTCCTTTCGTTCCTCACGCCTCATCAAAGCTCCCCGCTTTTGATTCATCGCCATCCTCCCAGTGATAAGTCAATGACCTTCGGGACGGCATTCTGGCTACTGCTTCGCCTTCTCATTATCATCCTGTCGACCTGGCAAGGATGCTGTACGAAAGCCACATTGACGAGGTCTTAATACTATCCTTCATTCCCTCGTTATGCTAGCAGATAAACTATTGGCTACCTCCAAATGTACACAAGTGGCCAAACAGATCCACCTTCATAAGAAACCCCGTATCTCTCGAAAGCACTCAAACCCCATTATTCATATACGGACACCTCGAAACGTTAACCTAGTCAGGTTGATATCAACCACACATGAATCCCATAACTCTAATAAACCCTCCATTCGACTACATCTCACCATACTAAAGAGCCATTCCCTGAGCACTCTAATCCCTCGCAAAACCGAATTTCCTCCTGCAACTTATCAGAGGAATCGTGCTGCGGCACAGCCGGCCAAATATCCTTCCCAACTTCCTCTTCTCTCTTCCTATGATCAAACACCAGCCCTCGAACCATTTTCTGGAAATACAACGGGCCCTAAATACCGTATTAGCATAAGCAAGCTTTTCACACATTGTGATTAAACAAAACCTTCTCAGCCCGAGGGTGCAACTCCCCATTCACAAACACTCCTGCATTCAAATTCTTCTGCGCCGCATTACACAGATCCTTATCCTCGCGCAGGACCTGCTTAAAGAACTCATTGATATAGGTGAAGTCTTCATCTGAAGCGTCGTTATGTCTGTAGACATCATACTCCATGCGAGTCTGCGTCGCGGAAACAGGAACACAGCGCATCATGTACCAAAACGACGGTCTAGAATCTTCTCAGCAACTGCTACCAAACAACAGCACAGAATCAATAAGAACATACGAAACCGTAATCGACGCATTGGGGAAATAAAAAGTACTAAAGATTCCCAGGCCAGGCGTATCCTTCTTATCAGCATTAAAGTGCTGGATATGTCCCGCTTCAGTCTCGACGTAGTATTTGGTCAGATCCGCGACGGCGTTCACGCCTGGATGGCCCGTTGGACAGTGGTAGCACTATTCATATGGCCATCATCAGCTTCCTCCCTTGTCTCTCTCTTCCCTTCGAACGAGTTGAAGATAAAGAAGGGGCAAGGGATGGAGGTATACTTCATTATAATTATCCGCCAGCGTCTTCCAATTGTAATCGCCCATCATACTCCACGTATGATCGAAATGGTACTGCGACAGATCAAACCCCCGCAAGCGAGGCTGCTGGTCCACTCCCTCGAAGTCCTCTTCCCAGGAGACGCTCGGCTGGGAACCAGCCTCCATATTCACCCACACGAAACCAAGATGGTCGATGTGGACGTGAATGGGATAGAGACCCATCTTCTCTTTCTCAAACCCTTCCACATCTTGATACCGAGGTGCTTTCGCAAGCTTACCATCCAGGCCGTAGGACCATCCTGCATAATCACTGTTAACAGTTTGCTTCCTTACCCAAATCCAAAAGACAATTATGGCTTACCATGGTATCCACAAGAAATGATATTAGCAGTCCCAGAACCACCTTCCGTCTGAAGAACAGGATACGCCCGATGTCGACATACATTATGAAAAGCTTTAATCGCACCCGTTCGATCTTTAATAATAAAATAGCCGTATCCGGCCACGTTGAGCTGCACATAATCACCTGGCTTTGAAAACCGGGTGCGGTGGGTTACTACCATCCATTTCTTGGAGAAGATTGCACGGCGTTCGAGAGCATACAGCGCCTCGGAGCGGTACCAGGAGGATGGGAGGGCTTTGGTTTGGAGTTGCTCCTTGGTGGGGGTGCTTGTGGACTTAGTGAAGGGGAAAAGGCGGTTCATTTTTGGTCTTGATGGAAGGGATATAGATACAGGACCGGGTTCTGGTTTTGATGGAAATTTGTGGGGTTGTGGGATGTTTGATATCGGGTCTGGTTCATACGGGTTGGTATTATGGGTTTTCAGGAGTTGATATACTGTGTTTAACTTTTACGCCTTTGGTATCTTGGATCTTCTATCAATATTATCTTGGTGTTGATGAGGGGGTGTTGTCGGATCCGGACCGCTTCCGGGTGGAGTTGGATAGGGCTATGTTCTGGGCTTGGTTAGAGTCCGGTGCTCGATGATTCCACTGTGGCCTTACGCATGAATTGTATTTCTCCTAAGAGTTATACACGCATATCAGTAGCGTGGACTCTGTAAAAAATGCTGCAGGACCATTATATGCTAGTAAGATCGAGGCAGCGACAGTAGGACTAGATGCACTATGAAAGATTGAAATGATACGATAATACTTTACTTCGTTTGGTCATGATGTGTTTGTTCTCTAGTCTCATTGACTAACCTGTGGCAGAATTGTAACTTAAACCAAGAGATACATCTATACAAAATTTAGAACTCATGCTCAGGTACCTCAGCACACCATAAAGATGCCAAACATGCGATGTACCACATGCTCTCCTTCCGAATGCACAAACAAAGCTATGTCATCATAAATCCCCCGGTTCGAACGGCAAAGCCAGTGACACAATTCCGATAACCACAAAGAATGCACAACAGACCCAGATAGGCACAGCCGTCGTAACATCCCCGAAGGTCGCGATGAATGGGGCAGAAAGAGAAGCAATCCGGCCACAGGCGAGCGTTAGTCCACAGCCAATGCCCCTATATGCGTCTGGCATGACTTCCGGCGTATATCTACCCTGCCATGTCAATATCGAATTGCATGTTCGGTTAGATTAAGTAACACTCACCCATAAATGATGCCGTACAGCGCATTGAGCCAAAAGTTAATCATGCTGGAAAAAGCCAAATTCTGTGGCTCGGTCTTGACGGTGGTGAAGGCGCCCGCGAAGGCGGCGGAAGCGCAGGCTGTCAGCGTCATTGAGCGTCGACGTCCGAGGAAGGGCACCTGCACAAGGAAGGCACTTAGAATCGGTCCCCAGATTCCGACTACCGAAGAGATAGACCAGTCGCGGTAGGTCTGATAAGTGCTTCCATCGCCTAATGTGGCTCCGTGCGCTTCAAGGTAATATGGGAGAAACACCGTATAAACGGGATATCTGAACTTGTTAGCATTTATTATTAAAATTCGCAAGCTGTGGACGGGTGTGGTACGCAATGCCGATAAGTAGCCATAGAATGATCAAGCATATCATTGAACGAATCTGCTTCGAGCCATCAAATAATGCGCCCACCATGGAGACGACTTTCTTGAAGGCGCTCTTAGAGTCTTCCAGCTCATGAGGACGCAACTGATCAACCATCATCACATACGTTGATTTGTTGACTTTGCTGATTGTATTGATGGATGCCACTGCTTCGTTCAACTCTCCCCGTGATACAAGCCACTTAGGCGACTCGCTCATTCCCAGCGCAAAAGTGCGCAGAATTGACATGGCGAGACATAATCCCCCAAGGATGATATACAGATATCGCCATCCCATATTATTTGCTTTGGTACATGTTTCTGGAGTAGCGCCAGCTGGACAACAAAAGTTCACTACAAGTGGCCAGGCTGTCCATTGTGGGTCAGCGAAGCTCTTTCAGAAGAGAGAAGGCAATGAGAGTACCTATCAGTCCAGTGATAGCATTTCCTAGGCCCCAGAGACATGCAAGAGAGGTAAGGAGGAAGGCCCACTTGCGTGGTAGAGACTCTGCAAGAACTGTAAGGTCAATTGCCACTATATGTCCATATCAGTATGAGCACGCTCAATCAGAAAACGGAGTGCTTACGGTTCCCGCCGCCAAAGAAAGCAGAGAGCACAACAAAAACATTCAACGCAGCCCAGTTGGGTGAGGCGGCACAGATGGCAGTAAAGACAGACACTCCAAAGATAGATGTCTGCCACGCCAGACGACGGCCAGTAAAATCAGCAATAAGCCCAAAGATAACAGCACCCGCTCCTAAACCTGCGTATTGTGCGGCGGAAAGCAGTGTCGCATATCGAGGACTGAATTCCTTCGAGGCTTGAGGCATGACCAGACTGATGGAAACAAGAAGCATCTGAGGGCCTATTAGATATGGACGACGCTTTTAGAAAAGATCTTGCCTGATCTGCAATAAAACCAAATCCACAAGAAACCATCAGCTGCCATTGATAGCGCCCCATCCCGATTGTTTCAATTGCATTGTTGATAACGTGTTGGTTGAAGTCCGAATGGTTGGCTCCCTGGTGAGATGTTACAGTGCCTTCTGCGAGACTTGCCTTTCTGGTTATTATCTCTTCTGTTTTCTTTTCGGTATCCATCTGACTGATAGCAGCAGTGTCTTGGTTCATTTTCTAGGTGATAATCCGTTGATCAATATGAGGACTACATTCCAAGTTTCTTGGATAATGGTATTATATTTCACCTCCCCAAGAAAAGCCTCGTGACAAACTTGGACTGACCAAAGCCGTCTGATACCTCAGCGGATTCGGCCCGCATCCGTGAGGGGGATCAGAGTCGATAAGAGAAGTTGGTCTGGAGTCGGAAAGACAAATTTAACTTTAGTCAGACGGCTCTATCTCCGCAACGTTTCTTTAGTTGGTCGGATATTTGCCACAGAGAACAATTGGGTTGCTTTACAGCCATGCCTTTGTCCGTGGCACTTTAATGAGGCCCAGGGGTAGATAGACTTCTTCATGCGTAATCGTCAACAATCCGCGAATCGACGTTCATATAAGACTGCCCTTGAACCATTATTTGTAGCAACCTCGGCTGTTAGAACAAGTGTTAGTCAACATACGAATAGCCTGGATTGCAAGTGACTGCCAAACCGGATTCCTGAATTACCGGAAGCCGCATTGCCAGTGTCATTGTTAATCAATACATCACCCACTAATGGCTCCCCACAATGTTGCGTTGTATCTGCCTCGCTGCTAGGTTATTCAGCAGGTTTGGAGGGCGGGGGGCGCTTGGCCCCGGTCCTGCTAGTGTGGGAATCCTTCGTCTTCCTTGTGCTCAGCTCCCTGATTTGCAGTTCTAATCTTTATGTAATGCGCGACTGAACGACGTTAGAGAAGCGCAATTGCTTGGCTTGAAGATATGGGACATCTATAACATCCAGTAACCTCGTGTTCACGAACTATGGGTACGACCATATTTGACAGATTGGTAAACGAACGAAACGGATGTGTTTTATCCTCGCTGAGTAGCCATATGTATCTGAGATCAGCTTTTAGGACTCTCTTGTCCCAAGGATACGCCCTCTTAACAAGCACTTTTCAATCTTTCTGATAAACGAGATATCGATTATACCGCCTAATAGAGAAGAGCTGGCATCTTGGAGTAGTCGTCTCTGCTGACTACGGAGAACTAGGATTAAATTTGATTTTGGAGTGATTTTCTGTACTGGTGGGGCATGAAGCGATATGGATGCAGGGAAATAAGTCGCTTCTTTAACTTTCTTCGAGGTGGGTGGAGATGCTCTGAATTCTACTTGGATAATGTGCATGCCCGACTTGAGTAGCATCTGGGCTTAAATTTAGGTGGATCAAGTCACATCAGCGGTCTTTTCAGCGACTGCATATACTGTCGCTATGGGGTTCGCGTGGGGAATGAGCTGAAAGATACTCGCATCCACTACCCGCAAATTATTCGTCCCATAGACTCGGAGATCTTGATCCACCACGCCCCCCAGCCTGCCGGGGAAGCATGGCGACAGTGCCACATGTATGGTGGGTGGTCAAGGCAGCCGCCTCGCGCAGAATTTTCTTGATGACTTCCAGATCCTGTTGAGTGCTTCCACGAGAGAATGTGAAGCTTGAAATGACGACTAGGAGAGCAATTCCCCCGAGCATAACGCTCAAGAGAAGATGCAGAGGCCTCATCAGGGCCACGCAGAATAGATTTGATGACACGTTTAGGGTCTCATCTTTAAGGCTCGATGAGAACACCTGTTCCTGTTCCTCTTCATCGAGGCAGGTAAAGGCCAATGCCATTATGCTGTGTCTAATCCCTTCAGCCTTGAGAGGGGTCGGCAGAACGCTCATCAAATGATTATGTAGGATTTCACCTACTCCGGGCTGATCGTTCACCACAGGAATACCAGAGTCACTCAATCGATCCTTTTGCCCCACTCCTGATAGTTCGAGCCATTTGGGGCTATTGAAAGCACCCGCGGTAGGGATAACATCTTTATTTGCGTTGATATTGACAATTTTTCTATTCCATTCGACCTTCACCCCAGTAGCCACGGCGTCTAGTGACTGAGAGGAGAAGATAATCCTGCGGGCTGTTGCTTCCGTGAAGATGTTGAGGTTTGACCGGCTGGGCCTACCGTATTGACTATCCGCACTACTGCGCGAGCCGGAGACGGGGTCTACTGTAGCCGCATAGGCACGAGTGCCAACATCTTTTGCCCACCCAAAATGTTGCTTGTGAAGTCGTATCCCTGCTCCATGAACGCTGTATTCCACGCCTGAATGACAGGTGAATCCTTTTTCTCTGCAAACGACGGATTAGTTACTCGGCTTGGACCTCTTTTGTGGTAACCTTCGCCGGGATGTGACACAGTGTGCGACATCTGGAGATACGGCAGCAAGAAACCCCATGTCCACATTGGGTTGCCCAGCTCAACCCAGGCATTGATCCCCACGGGCGAAAGAGGGACCCAACAAACCGTTCAGAGAAGAGGAACCACCTAGCATCCTTCCAGCGGGTTGATCTTGCCCCCAATTGTTGAGGCCAGCCTGGGTGAAAATAGAAAGGTCAATTTGATCATTCAAACCATGCACCATACTCTGACTGACTATACTTAAGGCATAATATTGAACTGCTACCCAACCTCCAAGCCAATCAAGGTGGGCCAAGCATTTGGACCCTGCACCCGAGGGTCTGTAGTTCGATCTGGGCCGCTCTCCAACACCATCACCTTAGTCTGTACTAAATACACTCAGGTACAATGTTAAAGCTGGTTAGGTCGATCTCTTTGTTTTTTCAGAGCAGTATAAATATGAGTTCAGCGCCACCTAAATTCTAGTAGGAAATCACGACCTCATTTTTCATGGGGTCCGATGCATTGCCAAAATTGTCATATTATCTACTATATTCTATGGGAACTGTGCTCTTGGCATTGTGCATGAGATCGCACATACACCTGGTCTGTTTGGAATTGAATAGTGATCAGGTCTAGAAACCGTACAGTATACCCCGTTCCCGTTGCATGAAGAAACCTGATTATGTACACATCGTCCCCTGTGCTTTATCGCATCGCCTGGCTTAACGGTCCGATATTCAATAATAAATCTGTCTCGGATAGACCCAGATAAAAAAGGTCTTGTTCTGACTCGAAATAGAAAGAGCCAGTCTTTGTATGTTACTCTACTATTTTAGAATATTTGGTGGTCCCGCTACAAATTGTCTGCGTATCCTTACCTAGTCCAACGAGCCTTCTATCCTGCATAGTAGATCCTCTATTATATGCTCCGTATTCTATACTAATCCAAAAGTTTGGTGTCTACAAATCTTTCCTGATTATCTGTCCTTTTAAACAACATACAATAATCTACGTAATTCAAGCAGTTCAAGCAGTATACATGATTATTAATATGGAGTTTTATAGGTAAAGAATCCGTAGAGGATATTATTGAGTATAATATACATTATTTCTGAGCTCGAACCAGGCTGGGGGAATCTTTTATAAGCAATTGAACTCCTACTCCAGTCGGAGCATATATTACCTGGTTCTGGTGGTCAGATTCTTCCATATGAATACGACGGTAGGCAAATTTCTCTGCGTAGAGCCTGTAATCAACGTTATAAATGCTAATTGCTATTTAAGTCTATAATAGTCTGTTACCTCCGATCAATCCTTTCCTTCAAAAAGGTAGGCTGTCAGTTGTAATACGTTGGACCTTAATAGTTAGCTATTAAACGTCTAGTTACTAAGTGAAGGTCGCTGTGACCGTTACCAAGCCCGGTCCGGAGTATCGTAGTGGATACAAGTCTTGTCCCGCGCGGTCCGCAAATCTACCCCGCTCCCGTGCCAAGCTATGTAAAGGAAACTTAAGGTTCATTTATTCAAACTTACCATTCCGCGCCGGTTCCACTGCGCCCCTATTCCGTACAATTGCCGGAATGCCGGACCAACTCAGGTGCCCGATTTCGCGTCCTGTTGCTCAATATTGGACTTTCCCCCAGACAACTCAGAACATGAGGACAGTGGGGTCCGGAAGACTTGCGCACTTGCCTTCTTGGGGAATATTGCCAGTTGAGGAATAACGAATGGTCGGGCTGCTGACCACACAAATTAGTATTCGGTGGTCCTGTGACCCCTCATTGAGAAGAGCTTACCAAAGAGTCAAAGACCGTGGGGGCCCGAAACTACGCAGCATTGTGCCCAGAGAGTCAGCACGCTTTCCAGCCTATGATAGCGCTTAGTGAGATTGATTTGTCTGTGTATCTCGCTTACATATCGGTCCCCCTGCTCCATTTCTAATTTTTAAGATTTAACCCATATGTTCATTGGATTTAAGAGCATAGACTAAATTTTTAGGGTCGGCGTTTGATGGCTGGCCCAGACGATCTGTTGGATGGCATTGGCGGATGGGACTAGAGTTATGGAGCCATGCTGAACGCCGGGGAAATATAAACTTTACCATAGCTGTTAGTTTCTTTCTTTCCCTGCGGTCATCCTCTGCGAGGTTGTTTTGAATCGAAGCCAAATTTAATGGATGTCACTGTTACATTGTGATAGTTATAATCTTGTGGTTACAAACTAGATAGAGAGATGTGCACTCTTTTGTGTTCACTTATCTATAATTGCTAGCAGTAGTTGCTCAATTCCGAAAGCCATAACTACCAGGTTTTATGAGAGCCTCCAATGGGCCAGAACATTCCACAGATGTACCAGACTTTGGATTAATTGAGATGGGCAGTGCTATGCAAGTTGTGATGTCAATTGTATATTGACTTTTGCTAAATGTAAGGGACAAGGAAAAGCACGGGAAGCAGAGAACAGAAAGGAAAGGAAAGGAAAAGAGAGAAGGAAATAAGAAGAAAAACAAGATCCAGATCGCCAAAGGTCCTTCCGCATCTGACTGATCCACCGAGCTCTCCGCAATCCCCCACGTTCTTGGGTATTGCCATCATCCCCTGTGACCGCCTGCGACCAGGCGTTCAAGCGATATGCTATAAATCACTCCCGGTATCCATGTTCCACTTTTCACCGTGAACGAGAAAAAAAAGCAGAAAGGAAAGACCCATTTTATCCGGCTGAAAATAATGGGTTTGGATACCATGGCATCCGAAAAGGAAGCGGCTGGTGGAGGGGTTTCTAGTTACCATTCTGACCTAGAAACCTCAAAGCCAGGTATCGAGCAACTTGAGGTGATTGCTGACCCTGACGAGGGTTTATCTGAAGAGGAGAAGGCAAAAATAGTATGCAACTCTTGGTTAGAAGTAACATGCAGGTCAACTGATCTTCTTAGGATCGACGTTTGCTGAGGAAATTAGATATGCGTCTCATCCCGTGGCTGTCCTTACTCTATCTAGCATCATTTCTTGACCGCACAAATATTGGAAATGCAAAATTGGATGGTCTCCAGGAAGCACTTCATATGACTGATGGCCAATACAACGCTTCGCTAACCATCTTCTTCATCTCCTATTCTATCTTTGAGCCCCTTACTAACGTGCTGCTCAAACGGACACTGCCCAGTATTTTTATCCCAACAATCATCGTTCTCTGGGTATGTAATGTGACATAATATGCTTGGCTGAAAAGAAAACGGTTCTGATCGGAGATTATCATTATCCAGGGCATTTGCATGACAACAATGGGGCTTGTACACAACTTTTCCGGCCTCATGGCCGCACGATGGTTTCTTGGATTAGCGGAGGCCGGTCTTTTCCCGGGCGTAGCTACTATCTTTCCTGCTGGTATAAACGGTCTGAATTCGGTATTCGGATGGCCATATTCTTTTCTGCTGCTGCGTTAGCGGGCTCATTTGGCGGCCTTCTGGCAGCTGCCATTGCCAAGATGGATGGGGTGGGTGGAAAGGATGGCTGGGCCTGGATCTTCATCCTAGAGGGTCTTGCAACCGTTGTCATTGGGGTGCTTTCCTTCTGGCTGGTGTACGACTTTCCAGACAAAGCTAAATTCCTATCTGACATAGACCGAAAGCGCGTAATGCGACGTCTGGCTCTAGACCAGCAATCCAGTACTGCCAAGGAGCACGAGTGGAAATCCTCATATCTGTGGGATAGCCTGAAAGACCATAAGACTTGGCTCGGTGCTATTATTTATATGGGTGCTGATGGAGCATTGTATGCTTTTTCATTGTTCCTGCCAACCATTATCAAAGAACTAGTAAGCTAGCCATGTGTTCAAAGTTCTTCAAAAAACGGACATCGCTAACTATCTACCAATCCAGGGTATTTTGAAAGTGTTTTATTTGTCCAGTGATTTGCTTTGCTGACAAAAATCAGGCTACTCATCTACTCGTGCACAGCTCCTCAGTGTGCCTCCTTACGCTTGCGCTGCTATCCTAACAGTCTCGGTTGGCTACATAGCTGATCGCACGCGTCAGAGAGGAATCTATAACATCCTCGCATCCATCTTGGGGATAGTTGGTTTCTCAATGCTACTAGGCACTAAATCGCCTGGTGTTAAATATGCTGGAGTCTTCCTTGGGGCTATGGGCATTTATCCCTGCATTGCTAATACCATTGCCTGGGTCAGTAACAACGTAGAGGGTAAGGCATTCTTTCTATTTATAGACGCTGCCATAGTTCAGAGCTTGTAGTATATATTTATATGCAATTACTGACGATATCAAACTTAGGCATCTACAAACGCGGTGTTACCATCGGAATCATGATCGGATGGGGAAACTTGAACGGTATCATGTCCTCTAATATATATCGCAATGCCGATGCACCGAATTACTATCCTGGCCACGGCACGGTTCTGGCGTACTTGACCCTCTTTTTGTTTATTGGATCCATTTCAGAATATTTCCTGCTGAAGAGGGAAAACCGGAAGCGCCGACGTGGCGATAGGGATCATCGCGTTGCGGGATTAACTCCTGAGGAAATTGCACAGCTCGGCGACAAGAGGCCTGACTTCATCTACACGATATAACTTCCTGTGGTGGCGTCGTTCTTGCGAAGTTTGATGAAGGTGTTTTATTCGTTTTTGGAATGGATTGAAAGATGTGTTTGCGAAATTAGGATGTGAGAATACATTGGAAGGCTATGATCTCATTTCCCATTGAGCCTTGCCATCAATTCAGTACCAAGAATAGAGTATTTTAGGGGGACGTAAGGGCTTCCGTCATTTTCTACTTGTTCCTTGCCGATATTCATCCTTGATAGCAATGCTGGGCTGTTTGTATGGGCTCCGATACTCCCTGATCCTGAGACCGGAACAGACGAATATTCTAAACTGAAGGAAAAGTTCTTGGAGATCAGTCTCGGCAATGGTATGAACATCAACGATGGAGATAGTTTTATTCCGGACAACCCTGAAAGCGGATGGTTTCGAATTACATTTTCATACGATGAAGACAGATTAGCGTGGGTCTGGAACGACTGACAAGAAGTTTAAGGCAGATCAAGAGTGAAAAGCTGAGATAGGTAGGAACTCTTGAGACTATCTAGTGGGGAACTCTACTACTGTATCTGAGCTATACACAGGCTTCGTGATTGGGCACTGACCTATTTACCCGATCTATTACATAGCAGATATAGGACATTTCATGGACTTCTGGGTTTGGCCTCGATTACTCACAGTCTAGATTGTATGACAAGCTTTAAAAAAGCAGAAATGATTCTCTAGGTGATTGGTATGCCGTCTTACTGTACTGTACATGAGAGTTTAGGTTTGTATACCGTTAGTATTGTCGGTTGCAGACTCGGTATGTAATGGCGAGGATGTAAATAAGACTGGGAAGAACCGATAGACAGATTGAAAATTATGGTTCAATTACAAGCGTAGCTATCTACGAGGAAGTGAAATTCCACCAATCCTCAATTGCCCTTCCGTAGCTCTCCGGCGCCAAAAAGAGATTATCATTCAGCATCCCTTCCGCCGGTGTTTCAATCAAACCAAAAGGCTCCGCAGGTGGAGCCTGGTGCATATCCGGTCCGGTTGTAAAAGAGGCCGGTGGAGTCGAAACAGATTCTGGTGGATACGCAACGACTTCTTTGGCCACTGTCTTGTGGCCAGATATCCCTGCTGATCCAACGAGGGGGAAATCTGGATCTGGAGTCATGAATCTAGAGTCTGTATGCTTGGCGTTAGGGTCTGATAGCGTTGCCCCAAAGAAATCATTAGAAGATTGGGAGCTGCTGGCCCGGTCATAGACCAGTAATTCCCACAGAAGTCTTGCGTTATTAGACCACGACTGGCTATTTGTGCTTGTGGAAACGCCTTCCCGTAGGCGATGTAATTTTTGCATCTGTTATATTAGCGATGCTTCACAAGAATTGTTCACGGTGATTTCCAGTACGAACCATATTTCTGACATGGGGCCATCGCTCTCCCAATGGCTGGAGAAAACGGACACATTTGTTATAGCCATTTCTTGCCGTATCTCGCAGCCCTTGATCATCGACAAAGCTATGTTGAAGATGTATAGTAGCGACAATAACTACACAATGGGCCAAGATCGGGTCGCAGATCTCAAACCCCTTATGCTCTACAAGGTCAATCAAGTGCAGAATCCAACTCGCGTGAAGGGTAATGTTCTCAAACGATTGCCGAATGAAAGAGTGAGGCATAGTATGTCTGAAGCTTCGTAATCTCATCGATAGTAGGAATGGGTGATTCAGTAAGCACGGAATTGTTTCGAACATAATCTGGACAAAAAGCCAGGGCCCCCAGAAGTCTCGACGCTGGTTTAATTCCTGCAAACTGTGATTTTGCAGGTTCTTTGCATGGTACCGGTATTTTAGTGGGACAAGGCTATCAAACTCAGTATGTCGAAACGAGACCACAGAGTAATCGGATTCAGGAAACCAGGGAGGAAGAGAGACTGGATCAACCTTGGTGGCGGCGTAGTTCATTGCCAGGGCCCACACCTCACTCAGTTGAATAGTGTAGGAGACGAGACCAAGGTCCTCCTTTGTGTTAGATCCTCGTGGTTCTCTGATTGACGGTGGGGTGTATTTAGGCGATAATCCTGAACCAGTGTTGAAGGGCGTGCGAACGCCTGATATAAGTCGACTTGTTTGAATCCCGTCCCCTTGAAGATGTTGCAGCATATAAATGCTCCATGAACAGCGACGCTTCTCGTCCGCGTCTGTTTGGATATTGGCCAGAATTTCACCAGTAATGCTGACGCTCTGTGCTAGATAGGCCGCCATGTTCAAAGTCAATCCTGCCTGGATGGTATGTCCCACTACCACGAGTCAATAATGAAAAACTCGGGGTTTTCAAGATTCCTCACCTGAGAACTCGAACATAGCCAGTAGACAAAGCGTCTGTAAAGCTGAGAGCTCCAAGTTCCCATTGTTAATACGGTCCATAACCAGGGAGCGAGCATTTTTGGCATATTTTAGGATATGTGCTTCTCCAATTTCTACTTCGCGTTCGAACCGTAGACTGATCGCCTGGATTGCAAGGATAAGTTCCGGATCTCGGGTGGCGATAGTTTCGACGAAGTCCTCCGGATCAAATAAAGGAAGTGGTTGGTAGTTACAAAAGCTGAGATACAGTTCAGCAGCTCTCAATATTGAGCTCTGGTTATCAAGATCTCCTCTTGAGTCTCCTGTATGCTCCTCTCGTGAACCAGACTCCATTTGAACAGTCATCGGCGTCATTGTCTGTCTAGAACTACTATAACATATATCAGCATCGGCTCTTATAGATTATAGTTATATATATACCCACCTTAAGCTACTTATCAATTCCTCCAACCTCCCCTCCACATTTTCCAGCCGCCTCGCCTACCAAATTAGCCGTGACTATCACCGGAAGGGTCGGATATATACATGCCATTTCAGTGGCGCCGGGACCTAAGTCTGCAGAGTCAGAGTACACACATTGTTGCCCCAGCCTATCGCAGTACGAACAGACTGGTCTTTCGCCTGGACATCGTGACTTTTTACGACTGTAGATGTCAGAAATTATCTGTTTGCGAGGGCAGTTACTGATCCTTACCGGCATGGATCACAGGCTTGGCGGGCACGTTTGGGCGGTCGGTAGTCATCAGTCGACATCTTCGAGTTGAGCTGATGATATTGCTTTGGTGTGAATCTGATACCTCGGGGGTACTATTGTAGTTGCGATGATTGGGCAGCCTTCTTATAGCTCATGCCAGCATGCACGCTAAAAGTCTGATACTGCACGGCTACCTTATCTTTCAGTGCGGGGTAAAGTGGAGAGAGATATCGAGAGAGAATCAAGGCCACTTGAATGGTTGATCGAAGTCAAGTATTTCGCTAGAATCTCATTGATTCACCCTTCACAATGTTTTCTGTCAGCTGGCCTGTCCATCATCTATAGTAATTAATTTTGAGCAGCTACGCGCATAACTACAATGCGGTCTAACTTGAACACTGACAATAAACGCGAATTTTCCGTAGGGAATATTAACATAAATTTGTTACAATTTGCTCTGTTCTTCAACAGTCAACATCCGTAAAGGGGGTCCTCCCCGGCTTCCATCCCCAATCTTCAAATCCCCACTGCCATCGGGCAAACGAAGCCTCCATTTCTGTCGGAGAATCTCTGGGGCACAGTTTTCATAGCGGTCGGCTATGTACCGACCAAGAACAGGTAAGAATTTGAAGCCACTGAGATACCTAAGTTAGTGAAGGCATAGAGCAGGCCTTGATTACAACTTACTGTCCAGCCCCTCCGATAGCAACAAAAAGCCCATCCATCTGAGGGTGATAGTCAACAACAAAGTCACCCTCTGGGGTGTCCGTATACCAACACAGACGACGATTCGACCAGGGGCGATCGGCAAAGCGTGGTATGAGCTGCCGAAGGCCATCCCGTAGAGCTTTATCCGCCTCCTGAGGAAGGAAAGATTTTTTGGCATTATTGGAATCCAACTTCGGCGAGGACACGGCTCGATCCGTAGCATCGGAACGTGTGGAAGTTGCAAAGCCGTAGCTGTGTCGGGCAACTTTGAGAATGTTTGTTCCTGGTGTTGGAGGGAAACAGAATATGCCACTTGATAAGTTGATCATCACAGGTGTTTTGGTGATACTGCGGGCCTCCTCCGGACTGAGTTGGATGAAGCCTACAGGCTGGCCTGATGCAGATGCTGTATGGGCCACATCCAGAAGCAAATTTGACCAAGCACCAGTACTCAGGATAACCTGATTTGCAGGAATAAAGTCTCCACTGGCCACATTCACACCAACAACACGGGATCTCTGTCTCCGTAATGAGAGAACTGTTCCCCGTGGTCCAGTGACGAAGGACACACCCGCCTCACTACATCTGTGACTTAAATGACGAATACTTCCCTCAGCATCTGCCCAGCCACCTTCAGGATTATAATATGCCCGAAGACTACTGAGATCAGTGTGGAGATCTGGATACATTTCTTTCAGGCCATTCCCATTCACAAACTCTTTCAGTGACCGACCTTGATCATGGATAATTTCCAATGTTTTGTCGATGTAAGGATTCGAAGCTGTCTCTGATAGCATCACAAATCCTGTATGGTGATAGTAGTCTCTGTACTCAGATTTCCAACCCTTGAGAGCCTCTTGAGCCATTTGGGAATACACGGGGTCGGCATATTCGGATCGGATAATTCGAGAAATGTCGACGCTGCTACCATCTGGGACTGGAGGCGGATAGCGGTCGAGAACAGTAACGTCTTTATACCCGCGCGAGCTCAGTTCAAGTGCCATCGATAGACCGAAGACGCCTGCACCTATGATGAGAACAGTGTCTGTCTTAGGTGGAGTTTTGTTTGCCATCTCGGCTAAGTACGATATACGCAATGGCCCTGCAAAAGTTAAAAAGAGAATAACTATGCTTTACTCAAGGAAGACTTGTTAGTATACCCTGGGTGAAAATAATGGTTCCAAAGACAGTTCAACAGGTATTTGCAAAGGGATTATACGTACTCCGTACTGGCCAGGGCGGACCCGGTCCGTCCTCCGTCCCCACCCGGAGGGCGTAATATCACAACTCTGATAGGAAGAGTGCGATAGCCTCAAGCAGCATAGATTAGCAGAGTAGCTTAATCAGGCCATAATTAACTCGTTATCACAATATAGTCTAGACTCTATTCACAAACTACTTCTATGCAACATATGCCTATTATCATAGGGCACTCCAAAGAAAGTATTAATAACACTTAGAGGGACCTCCTCCGGTGTTAGGATTCGGGAGATCTAAGAATCCATCCAACGGTCAACGACTGAATATCCCATCTTTGATCGGGTTACATTGTTTAAGTTTGAGCGTCAAAGAATTACTAAGTAATGTTAAAGGGTGAATTTCAAATGTATGTCCTCTTATTAAGTTTAGTCGATACAGTGCTCTATTGACTGATCGGAGATATATACTATCAACAGTTGATTACTAGGAATTGTACTACATCTTTACACACATTAATTTCTGTATATTAAACCTTCACCCATTTCCCAAAGTACTAGTAGTAGTGTACCCCACTCTCCATTAATTTTCGAATACTTCATTTAATTAGACATACAGGCACCTTACATTTCATCATATAAAAAGGAAACACGGTGAGTTAAAGGGTGGTTGCAAAGCTTCCACAAGTGCTTAGGGCCGGCGGTCATAGCTCTGCACTAGTCCACTTTCACTGTCGCTATCATGTGACTCGCATGAGTCAGCAATTACCAGTCCCGCCGCCAAACGTCGTCTGGCGCTGAAGGTATTTTCATCATCATAGGCATCAACACACTGCACCCTGCACCATCCCCTTGAGTTCCGCGATCACAGGGTATGATCCGGATGTAGCTATTGCTACCCCTTCCTGGGATTATATGTTCTCTGTCTGATCTCTGAGCGACTCTTTACTGTCACCATGTCTGACTGTACGTGTCACCCCATGACTTGATCCACCCCGTGACTAACCCCTTTCGCAGCCGATTTCGAAGCCGTCCGGAGGCTCCAAGCTGAGCGGAATGCCGCTGCAGCTGGAAAAAAAGGTTCTAGGACCTTTGATCCGTCTAGCCAGCGCACTGACAACTCGACCAAGGCCTCCCTGACTGAATCCTTCGACACCACCCTTTACGAACGCGAAGGCGCCGACAAGTTTGCGGGCTACGACACTTCGATCGCTGTCAATGGTGATGACGAGGAGATGGAGGATGCGGATGGTGGCCACCGTCTGGTGGGACAGTATACCGCAACCAAGAATCAGATGGATGAATTTGCCCACGGTAATGGAGTGGAGGAGGAAGACATACTTCTCGGTCGCGAGAAGGCGGCGAGGATTGCAGACCGCGAGACAGACTACCAAAAGCGCCGATTCAACCGTGGCCCTTTGACCCCCACCAGAGCGGACCCTTTCGCTGCGAACACTCATGCGAACGTTGAGGGAGAGGGCCAGACATATCGTGAAGTCATGGCTCTGCGTGAGCTTGAAAAAGAAGAAGAGCGTGTTCAGAAGCTGATCGCAGAAAAACAGGCCAGTGGCGAGGACGATGTCGCAGAACATGAGGCCACGTTGAAGTTGGAGGACAAAGAAAACGCTGACGCCGGCTCGACCGTCTCCGTTGCTACGGGACGCAAGCGCAAGCAACGATGGGATGTGGCTTCCGAGTCGACCGAAGCAGCTCCTGAGGCTCCCGAGTCCCAGGAGGCAAAGAAGAAATCACGCTGGGATCAAACGCCCTCCCTTGCTGTCCCGGGCGCCGCCGAGGAAGCGCCTAAGCGTCGATCGCGATGGGACCAGGCGCCATCTATCACATCAGCCACGCCTGTTGGCAACCAGGGGCTTGCAACTCCCATGCATCCTTCACAAGCAGGTGCAGCGCTGATTCCAACCAGCTTTGGAACTGATATCTCTGGCCGCAATGCCCCCTTGTCGGATGAGGAGCTTGACATGATGCTCCCGGGCGAGGCCGATGGCTACAAAACCCTTGACCCCCCTCCGGGATACGCGCCAATCCGAAACCCCGCAAGAAAACTCATGTCGACACCAGCTCCCATGGCAAGCGCGACGGGTGTGGGGGGGTTCATGATGCAAGAACCTGAAAGCGCCCGAGCTCTAGGCAAGCAGCTCCCAACAGAAATCCCAGGAGTCGGCGATCTTCAGTTCTTCAAACCCGAGGATATGGCATACTTCGGAAAGCTTATGGAAGGTGGAGATGAGAGCGTGATGTCCGTAGACGAGCTGAAGGAGCGAAAGATCATGAGGCTGCTGTTGAAGGTCAAAAATGGTACACCACCAATGAGAAAGACTGCCCTGCGTCAACTCACAGATAACGCGCGTCAATTTGGGGCCGGTCCCTTGTTTAACCAAATCCTTCCGTTGCTCATGGAGAAGTCGCTTGAGGACCAAGAGCGTCATTTGTTAGTCAAGGTTATCGATCGTGTTCTCTACAAGCTGGATGATCTTGTCCGCCCCTATGTGCATAAGATTCTCGTCGTCATTGAGCCGTTACTCATTGACCAGGATTATTATGCTCGTGTTGAAGGTAGAGAGATCATCTCCAACCTAGCAAAGGCAGCAGGTCTTGCTACCATGATCAGTACCATGCGTCCAGATATCGATCATGTTGATGAGTATGTCAGAAATACAACCGCACGAGCATTCGCCGTGGTCGCCTCTGCACTTGGTATTCCCGCTCTCCTTCCCTTCCTCCGTGCTGTGTGTCGCAGTAAGAAGTCTTGGCAGGCAAGGCACACTGGTGTCAAGATTGTCCAGCAAATCCCCATTCTTATGGGTTGTGCTATTCTTCCTCATTTGAAGGGTCTGGTGGACTGCATTGCCGATAATCTTAGTGATGAGCAAGCCAAGGTCAGAACGGTTACCGCTTTAGCAGTAGCAGCCTTAGCTGAGGCCGCTAACCCGTATGGTATCGAAAGCTTTGATGAAATCCTCAATCCTCTTTGGACGGGTGCTAGGAAGCAGCGTGGTAAAGGTCTAGCTGCATTCCTCAAGGCTGTTGGATATATCATTCCTCTCATGGACGAGGAGTATGCCAATTACTATACCAGTCAAATCATGGAAATTTTGCTCCGAGAGTTCTCTTCCCCGGATGAGGAGATGAAGAAGGTTGTTCTTAAAGTAGTGTCTCAGTGCGCCAGCACTGATGGTGTGACGGCCGGCTACCTGAAAGAGCACGTTTTGACCGACTTCTTCAAGAGCTTCTGGGTAAGGCGCATGGCCCTTGACAGGAGGAACTACCGCCAAGTTGTGGATACCACCGTCGACCTTGGACAGAAGGTTGGCGTGGGCGAGATCCTCGAGCGCGTCGTCAACAATCTGAAAGATGAGAGCGAGCCTTACCGGAAGATGACGGTGGAAACTGTTGAGAAGCTCATTGCAGCCCTAGGCGCGGCAGATATATCCGAGAGGCTGGAGGAGAGACTTATCGATGGTGTTCTTTACGCCTTCCAGGAGCAGAGTATTGAGGATATTGTGATCCTGAACGGGTTTGGAACCGCGGTCAACGCACTTGGCACTCGTTGCAAGCCGTATCTTCCACAGATCGTCAGTACTATTCTTTGGAGATTGAACAACAAGTCCGCCACTGTTCGTCAGCAGGCTGCAGACCTCATTTCTCGTATTGCAATGGTTATGAAGCAGTGCGGAGAGGATGCACTGATGGGTAAGCTTGGTATTGTACTCTACGAGTACCTGGGTGAAGAATACCCAGAGGTCCTTGGTTCCATTCTGGGTGCTCTACGTTCCATTGTCACCGTTGTCGGTATCAACCAGATGCAACCACCCATTCGAGACTTACTTCCTCGCCTTACGCCCATCCTGCGAAACCGTCATGAAAAGGTCCAGGAAAACACCATCGACCTTGTCGGCCGTATTGCGGACCGTGGCCCCGAGTCTGTCAATGCTCGGGAATGGATGCGTATCTGTTTCGAGTTGCTTGACATGTTGAAGGCTCACAAGAAGGGTATCCGTCGTGCGGCAAACAACACTTTCGGTTTCATCGCCAAGGCAATTGGTCCCCAAGATGTTCTGGCAACACTGCTTAACAACCTACGTGTACAAGAGCGTCAGTCACGTGTTTGTACTGCTGTCGCTATTGGTATCGTGGCTGAAACTTGCGCCCCGTTCACTGTCCTTCCAGCACTGATGAACGAATACCGCGTACCTGAATTGAACGTCCAGAACGGTGTTTTGAAGGCCATGTCCTTCTTGTTCGAGTACATCGGCGAAATGGCAAAGGACTACGTTTACGCCGTTACGCCCCTTCTCGAGGATGCTCTTATTGATAGAGACCAAGTGCATCGACAGACCGCCGCCAGCGTTGTCAAGCACATTGCTTTGGGTGTGGTCGGTCTCGGGTGTGAAGATGCAATGGTCCATCTTCTCAACTTAGTATTCCCCAACATCTTTGAAACCAGTCCTCACGTTATCGACCGTGTTATTGAAGCCATTGATGCTATCCGTATGGCTGTTGGCACGGGAGTGGTCATGAACTATGTCTGGGCAGGTCTGTTTCACCCTGCTCGTAAAGTCCGTACACCATATTGGCGGCTTTATAACGATGCATATGTGCAAAGCGCGGATGCAATGATTCCATATTATCCGACCTTGGAAGATGATGGCTTGGAGAGATCTGAATTGTCCATAATAGTTTAAAAGCGACTTGCTTGCTTATGTATCGTATCATTTCACTTTCTAGCTGTTAAGTTCGTTTCGCTGGCATTATGAGCCTGTTTAATCGCGCACGGTGTTCTTGATGGTGGGATTGGCGTGTATTTATTCTCATGGGGCCAGGTATCAGATATAGGAAATGACATTATGGTTATGCCAGTCGCCGATACCATCGGTACTTATTTAGTGTAATACATCAGACTAGTGATCGGACGTCCGATATTCTCCTTTATTCCCCCGCATTGCTATGCGGATGCTCGGCGAAGGTCCGCGGCTACGAGAGTGTCTTGACTCGATCTCCAACTACTCGGCTATATAAAGCCAAACCTATTGCGAAAACATCTAACCTGAACCAATTTCGAGCTTCACTGGCAATAATGGCTCTACCTCCTCACTGCGACGTCCTCGTCATTGGAGGCGGCAATGCCGGCTTCTGCGCCGCCATATCAGCAGTTCAATCCGGTGCTCAGAAAGTGATCATCATTGACAAATGTCCTCAAAACTGGGCAGGAGGAAATTCTTACTTCACTGCAGGAGCATTCCGGACTACCCATGGTGGTCTGGAGGATCTCCTTCCCATTGTGAATAATGTTGATACGGCCACAGCACAGATGATTGATATGAGTCCGTACACAGCGGCTGACTTCACGAATGACATGGAGCGAGTGACAGGAAAGAGGACGGACCGTGAGCTCAGCCGAGTCCTCGTCGATGATTCAAACGCAACCATTAAGTGGCTTGCGGAGAATGGTGTCCGGTTCCAGCTTTCTTTTAACCGACAAGCGTATGAGGTGAACGGTCGGATCAAGTTCTGGGGGGGTCTGGCCTTGAAGACCCAGGATGGAGGCAAAGGGCTCATTCAAGACCACCTCAGGACGGCCCAGAAACTAGGTATTGATATTTTCTTCTCAACGGCTGCAGAGAAGCTCGCCACGGACCCAGTGACCCGTGCTGTAACGTCGGTGTCGGCTGTGCACCATGGCCAAGTGAAGGTGATCAAGACAAACGCCGTGGTACTCGCTGCTGGTGGCTTCGAAGCAACCCGCGGATGAGAGCACAGTTTCTGGGGCCCCATTGGGACACCGCCTTAGTTCGCGGTACACCGTATAATTCGGGCGACTGTCTCGAGATGGCAATCCGCGATGTATCAGCGAAACAAGTTGGCAACTGGTCTGGGTGTCACTGCGTGGCATGGGACGCAAACGCACCCGCCAATGCAGGAGACCGCGAGATCTCCAATGAGTTTACCAAGTCCGGCTACCCATTAGGGATCATGATCAACCGTCAAGGCTCAAGATTTGTGGACGAAGGCTCGGATCTACGCAACTACACCTATGCCATGATCGGGCGACAGATCCTGCATCAGCCCGGTCATGTTGCGTTCCAAATCTGGGATTCGCGGACAATCTCCTGGCTGCGAAAGGAAGAGTATCGACCAGAAGTGGTGCAGCACATTACAGCATTGTCGATATCGGAGCTGGCAGAGAAATGTGCGATGGAACATGGCCTGGAGGACAAGGATCGGTTCGAGCGAACGATCCATGAGTTCAATAACGCTGTTTATGAGAGCCAACGGCTGAATCCTGGCCAACAATGGGATCCAGCCGTAAAGGACGGCCTCTCAACTCAGTCGAAGGCATGTACACTCAGCATCCCCAAGTCCAATTGGGCGTTGCCTATTGACCAGCCTCCGTTCCTGGCTGTAAAAGTCAGTGCGGGTGTCACCTTTACATTTGGTGGTTTGGCGGTGAATCCAGAGACAACTGCTGTGGTTTCGTCTACCACGAACTGTGATATCCCCGGGTTGTATTGCGCTGGGGAGATGGTTGGGGGACTCTTCTATGACAATTATCCCGGAGGTAGTGGGCTGACGTCGGGAGCGGTTTTTGGACGGAGGGCAGGGAGAACTGCTGCAAGGGCTTCTACGATTGCTTTCCGATGATATCGTTCTCTGCATGGACGGGGATTCGGTCGATTGATGTCAGATGCTGCGCTTGGTGGTACTTGGTGTTACCCAGTGCTACCGTCCGTACTACTTTGATGTCCGATTTGGTGCTGTGCAGATGAATCGGACACTGGTGAAATTTAATTTGGGCTGGGATGTTGCACGACATTTACTATTCTTTTTAATGTCTGGCTTTTCTGTCTTTCTTCCATTTTCTTCTGTTTTCTCTTCCATTATAGAACAAATGTATGAGTCTCAGATTGATGAAAATATATATATATTCAACTTTATCCCATTGAAACAGGTGCACACTGGGTAAATGTCTGATGACAGGCATTCTGCTTTGTAACTACTGCATATATATTAAGCGGGAGTATATATATTTCATGGATCTATCTGATACACTCTTCATGAGAAACTTCTATACATCTGCTGGTATAAACTACTCCTATGATTGCGATGTGAATATAGAAATGCTGACCTAAGCAGAGGGGCAACAATACGCATTATGTACGCTTCCAGTATCTGGCAACCGTTCTGTACCACCAGACCAACAAACTCAAGAGACAATCACCATAACCCTAGGGAAACCTACTGACATATCTCACTTTAAGGATCATGAAATGTAACACACACATACACATGCATCGACACCTCTCCTGCGAACTAAAAAACTACCCTGTAAAAAAAAAACCAAAAAAGGTCGACTAAATTCTGTCTTTTTGATTTATTTGATTTGTTTTATTTTTCTCGCTCTCTTTTTCTTTACTGATTTGCCACATGTCGCGGATGCCAAGCATTCGCCCTGCAGCCCGTGTCTGTAGTTGACTAAAGCAAAGTGCCGCGTAAGCCTTCTCCATCGCCCTTGTCATGTGCGGGCTTGGCGGCAGGGATCTGTGGGGAAAGGTCAGCCAATGGTCGAACATTCTCGGATGAGCCCTGCAGACTGAGTGGTCGTCATGGAATGGTTCAGGGATTGCGTGGGATTTTGGAACGTCTGTATCAGATATGTTGTTGTGATGACCTTCTGACTGGTTCGGAGGTCACCTCAGTCTTGTCAACTAGGGATGTGTCTACGTAGGACCCTGGATGATGAGAATACTACCCATCCTTTGATTTAATTTTATCTATTTATATATGCTGGATTGTGAGGTATTTTTTCTTGCTAGATTAAATCAGATGGATTGATAGTGGATGATGTTTTGGTTTGGGAAGTAAAGTCAACGAACTAATCCACTAGTTAGTAAGGGTCTGAATGGACGCTCGAGCGTCGGCCTCCTAAATTGGGGTCTTACATTTCAGTTTACTTCATTTCAAATTAATTTTTTTCTTTTTATTTTCAATTTTCAATTTCGCATCTACGAGCTGAGATCTCATACCATTTAATTTGAATGTTTTTGTGTTTGTAGTTATGTGGATTTTGACTGGCTCGGAATGAGGAGGGAGAGTACCTCAATTGTATTGGTATGCACGGAGTATACTGGAGCTACCATAGGCATTCGTCGGCCCTTCGATAGCGAGTCGAAGCCCGGTGACAGTCGATAAGTCAGATAACCAATATCCCAAAAACAAAACAAAGGAAAAAAAAGAAAAAGTAAAAGTCGATCTATTAGACATCCTAGTATGGAGTACAGACCGAGGAACGGCAAATACCGATTCTCTCTATCTGCAATGCAGACACCACAGCATGGTACCCCTGCATCCTCCCCTCGCTCACCTTACCTCCGGACACGCGCCTGATAGGGTTGAATCGCATGGAAATAATTTCCTAGATGTGGCTGCTTTCTCCTACTCAATTTCCCTGTTTTTGTCGGCGAGACCGAAAAGGAAGTAGGGCACAGGGTAACTCGTAGCTAAACTACTTCTCGTCCCGTCCTGGGGGCGAGAGGTCCGAGAGGAGTGCATTACGAAGCAACCTGAAATTAACAGCGATTAAAATAGAACATATCGCCTTCGTCGTCCGCGAAGGCAAATTTGCAGTTGCAATCGTCGTCTCGAATGAGACTCTGGGGTGGAGGGAGAAATAGATAGTACCTGCGTTGCCCCTCGGTTCATGTGAGAGATCAGGTACCGAGCGTCTCTTTTGTGTGTTCAGACATTTCGTATCTGCACATGGACTGTTAGCTTCGTGTTGAGATACTACAAATTGCATAGCATTACTCTACGGACACTACAATGGCTTTTCTCCCGTCGCCATCGTGACCGGTGGCAGACTAGATGACGACCCCCATCCGGAAGGATCATCTCTATAACATGAAAAGGTCCCCATAGTGATACTCAGGAACAGAAACCACCATTTTCTATTCTTGTCCATGTCATTTTACTCAACTGCCCCTTCCAGTTAGCCCCAGATGCAGGGACTCCCATCCATCCCACCTGGAAGTCGTAAGCTCGAACGCTTTGATCAAGGTCTGCCTCGACCCATGTTTGCATTTTGGGGTCGAGGAAACGGGTGCCAGCCCGACCGAATCCACTGCAAGGTGACAACCACTGTACGGAGTACGTACGCAATCATTCAATCTATTTCACCGAATATTAGCCAAAGAGAAATTTGGATTCCTGCATGTGGGTTTCAAAGTTAGTTGGATGCACAGTGTCTGTGTGGTTTCATACTGAGATTCCTCCATCCATCGTCTCTCCCTTCCATGGACGACCAGCACATGCCCACCACCGCCATTGACATACGCCAAGACCGTGGGGCTCCACTTTCTGCACACTAGATGTGTTTTTCCCGTTGGGGATCACGCCAAAGGCTGCTGCCAGGTGAAGCTTGTTCAAGGGTCCTTGTTTGACCATTCATCTTTGTGACTCTTGAAGAGAGAGAAAGAAACGTTAGAGATGTTGTTGTAGGTTGCTACAGACTATAATTGAAGATCTATAGTTTGGCCGGCACGTTGAATTCACCGCAAGTATCAAACCTAACAATGAGAACTAGCCGCAAACGCAACCAGCAAGGTAAAGATTTTACCCTGAAGAACAAAAACAGGGATACCCCTGAGACCTACGTAATGCTGCTTAACCAGTTGAATGAGACTTAATCAAACAATGGATACCCATACCGTAGAAATGATAACAAGTCGTTCTATTACAAGCATCACTCGGCCCCCTTCCCACGGCAGCCCAATCTGACGGTTAGGGCCCAGTGATATCATGCGCGATATCAAACTCCAGTTAGAGTGCTGTTCTTGAAGAGGGTGGGACGCCAGCTCCGGCTCTAGTGTGGATGAACGGCGCGTTTCATCTGACTGCTAGCCGCAACCCTGAGAGTGGCAGTGTTGTGGAGCCGGGCCAGGATCGCACGCAGGGATTCAGGGTAATGGGCTTGCGGGGGAGCGTGCTTTTCTTTTGCTCATTTCCCTATGGGGGAGGTAGTATGCTATTGATATTGGGTAATACTATTTTCTTTTTCTGGTATTTTGGGAAAGTCTTTTCAATTCCAAAATACCCCCAAGGGACCCAACAACCACCATCATGCCCCCATTTAAACACAGCCAAAAGCAAACCTTCCACGATACCATACCCAAAGCAGTAAGGCCCCTCCAAAATAAGGAAAGCTTCGTGAGATGTGCACGCGTCAGCTCCTGTGGGTCCGATTCCTCTGATTGGGTTATCTGGCTGAGCCAAGCTCGGCTATCGACTATCTGCCGTCCCTGGGGCATGTGGCTGCATCACCCTGTCTTTTCCTTAAAAATGAATCATGCCTGCGCACCAATCGCGTGCGCCATGAAATTTTCTTAGCCGCTGCTCTTTTTGCAGTAGGCTTATCTTAGTTCGGATAGGGGGTATGGGATCCGCTCCCACACTATACCTCTCTCAGCATAGTAATTACCATTCCAGGACTTGGTGCTAACCATGTGTGTGGGTTAGATCCTGGATTGAGTTGGCTAGTCAGCCTAGCTAACCTACTTAAACTTAGCATCCTCTTTCGAAAGAGTTTAGCACTAACCTCTCTAAGCTACTGAACGAGGCTACTAGGTAGTATTTACCGATGTAGGCAGTTGGTTGTCGGGAATCGCCACCAATTGAGAGTGATCAATTTCCCCTAGAGGAATGCGCGTAGGCATAGCCTGCCCTTTTGGGAGTGTTAGCTGCATCAAGTACTAACAGTCTAACCCTCTTGATGGAGTCAGATGCGGTTTGATCAGAATTTTGGGGGGACACGCGGAAGTGAAATCCCCCCCCCCTTATACACGACAAGTTTAAATCGTAAATTAATATCCATACTGGATGGAGATTTTCTTTTTGTCCTTCAAGGCGCATGGTCTATCGGTTGCTCTATTAGCTTGGCGCTTCGAGTGGTTCTTCCGGCCTTTCGGGGACCTCAGCACGCGGGTTTGTGATCCGTACCCCGTAGACCTTCAAGATACAAGGTTTTCCTTAGTCCGTGGAACGGAGAGATTTTGGAATTTCAGGTACACTGTTCTCTGTATGTCCATGGGGACGAAATAGCTACCAACTAATGTATCAACCAGCCTGCAGACAATTCCGCAAACATACCCAACGAGCATCCTCCCCTCAAAATCTCAAACTTCCCTCACACATGCATATACAATCCAATACTATATTCCAGGATGTAAACAATGCATTATACAAACCCCTTTCCCTTACTGGGTTCTTGCGCCCGTACCAGAGACAATAACGCCAATCATGACGATCTGCCGAATGGATCTGCCAAGATGGACCCCGTGCAGATGACAGATGTTTAAAAAAAATTTAGATTTTCTTTTTTTTTTCCTTTTATTTTTTTTTTCTTTTTACCCAATACCTGAATCATTATACGTCTCATCCGGGTAAACAATTTTCACAATTAAAGTATCGGGGATCATCAGTTCCTGAAGACTCGAACTCAACCTTCTGGAACTAAAGTGCCGATGGCGGTCCCCATCTGCCGAGATTATCCGCTGCGGTGCCAATTTCTATGACTGTTGTTTAGTCCCTTTTGAGTTGTTTTGAAATGTACTTCTTATTGTGCACGTATACAGATGTCAACTGTATGT